GAGGGGAGGGAGGGTGGGAGAGGGGGAGAAGAGGGGGAGAGGAGGGAGAGGGGCGGGAGGGCGGGTGGTGGGGAGCCCAGCTGCCGGACGGAACAAAGCGGCCGCTGTGCTGGCGGCGGGGGTGCCGCTGAGGGAAGGGGTGGACCTTGGGCTCGGACCACAGGGCGCCTTCTCCGCGGCCCGGACCGGACGCGGCGGGGGGCGGGGGCGGGGCCTGCGGGGCGGGGCTCCGCCCCTCCCGGCGGCTCCGGGGAAGCAGCCGCGTCCGGTCCGGGCCGCGCCGGCGCCCCTCTCCTCCGCCCCGGACCCGGCCTGGCCTGGCGGGGCTCAGGTGAGCGGGGGAGACGCCGGGGGAGACGCCGGGGGCGGGCAGTGCGGGGGACGGGCTCTGGGCGGGGGGCTCCGCTCCTCCGGGCCGCGCGCTCCTGCCCCCCTCGCGCCGCCGCCAGGGGGAGCCCTAGCGCGCTGCCCCGGGAGGAGGGCGCTGGACCACCCCGTCCCGACGGCCGCCCTCTCTCGCCCACGGCGGACCGGGAGCCCTGCGCCGGGGGTCCCCGGGGCATCAGGGGACGCTCGGAGGCTGGGGCCGGGGAGGACCCGGAGGGGGAGCGCTCCCGCCCTCCCTGAGGCACCGCGCTCTCTGGCGTCGGGGAGCGCGACGGGCCTGTCCCCGCGGGGTCCCCGGGCGCCGGGCCCTCCAGCCGGGCAGCCCCGGGAGCCGGGGGGTGGGGGGGAGGCGGGCGGGCGCGGCCGCCGCTGGACCCGTTAGCTCGGCGGGGCCGCGGCTGACTCACCGGCCACACAGGCCGCCCCACGTCACCGCCGCCCACGCTCCCGCCGCCGCCGGGCCGGAGCCCTCCGCCCCGCGGCCCCTCCGCCCCGGGGGCCCCTCCGCCCCGGCGGCCCCTCCGCCCCGCGGCCCCTCCGCCCCGCGGCCCCTCCGCCCCGCGGCCCCTCCGCCCCGCGGCCCCTCCGCCCCGGGGGCCCCTCCGCCCCGCGGCCCCTCCGCCCCGCGGCCCCTCCGCCCCGGCGGCCCCTCCGCCCCGGGGGCCCCTCCGCCCCGCGGCCCCTCCGCCCCGCGGCCCCTCCGCCCCGCGGCCCCTCCGCCCCGGGGGCCCCTCCGCCCCGGGGGCCCCTCCGCCCCGGCGGCCCCTCCGCCCCGGGAGCCCCTCCGCCCCGCGGCCCCTCCGCCCCGCGGGCCCCTCCGCCCGCGCCTCCCGCAGCTGCTGGGCGGGCCTGGGCGCCGGGCCGCGGACAAGCGGCGCCTTCTCCCCCCGCCCGCCCCGCGGAGAAAGGCCGCTTGTCCGGACACACTGCGGCCTTGTCCCCTGCCCCTCCCCCCCGCCATGAGGGGCCGCCTGCCGGCGCGCCCAGCCGCTCCCGGGGCCCTGGCCGCCCCGACCCCGCCGCCCCCGCGGCCCGGCCTCGGTCTCCCCCTCCCACGCCCTCGGGGCGGACGAGAGCCGGGAGGCGGGGCCGGGCCGCCGTGGACCGCCCCTGACGCCCGGTTTGGGGTCCGGTGCCGAGGCCCCCAGCCGCCGCTCGGGCCCTGCAGGCGCCCCCGCCCCGCGCCCCGCGCCCAGGGGGTCACTCCGGGCCCCGCGCCCAGGGGGTCACTCCGGGCCCCGCGCCCAGGGGTCACTCCGCGCCCCGCGCCCAGGGGGTCACTCCAGGCCCCGCGCCCCGCGCCCAGGGGGTCACTCCGCGCCCCGCGCCCAGGGGGTCACTCCGGGCCCCGTGCCCAGGGGGTCACTCCGGGCCCCGCGCCCCGCGGGTCGCTCCGGGCCCCGCGCCCCGCGGGTCGCTCCGGGCCCCGCGCCCAGGGGGTCACTCCGGGCCCCGCGCCCAGGGGGTCGCTCCGGGCCCCGCGCCCCGCGGGTCGCTCCGGGCCCCGCGCCCAGGGGGTCACTCCGGGCCCCGCGCCCAGGGTGTCGCTCCGGGAGGCGCTCGGCAGGTGCCCGCGGCTGGAGGCGCGGAGCCGGCGCTCGCTGGGCCGCTTTTGGCCGCGAGGAGAGGCGAGGTCTCCAAAGGTGGGGGCCCGGGCGGGGCGGGCGGGTAGACAGCGGGGTACAGGCGGCCCCCCTGGCCAGGGGTGGGGTCTGGGCGCCTCCAGGTGGCGGCTCCCCAACCCTCGTCCAAGTCCCATCTGCCCAGCTCCGGGGTACCTGTCCCCTCCCGATGGGGTTCCCCGCTGGCACAGCCTGCACCCCAGTCAGCCCACCTCCCTGTCTCTCCCTTCCCCTCCCCCCCCCCTCTCCCCTCCCTTCCCCCCCTTTCTCTCTCCTCTCCTCCTTCTGGTTCCCCTCAGCATTGCCCCTTGACAATCTTTATCTTCACTTGAAAAAAGTTTAAATATGTTTAAAAAAATATATTTTGTTGATTTACCACAGAGAGAAAGGGAGAGGGATAGAGAGCTAGAAACGTCAATGAGAGAGAAACATTGATTAATTGCCTCCTGCACACTCCCTACCCGGGATGTGCCCGCAACCAAGGTACATGCCCTTGACCGGAATCGAGCCTGCGACCCTTCAGTCTGTAGACCAACTCTCTATCCACTGATCCAAACTAGTTTTGGCTAAATATGTTTTTACTGATTTCAGAGAGGAAGGGAGAGGGAGAGAGAGAAGCAGCAATGATGAGAGAGAATCATTGATTGGCTGCCTCCTGCCCTGGGGAGATGGAACCCCGGACCCTCCAGTGGGCAGGCTTGGGCTGTCACTGAACCCTGCGCTAGGCTTTTGGTGTAAATAAGTGAGCGCCCACAGCGGCCCATCAAGGTAATGGTGACACGCTGACAGACGGAAAAGCTGAGGCCCACCAAAGTGAAGTGACTTGTTCAAGGACAAGAAATTTACAGTAATAACTTTATATTTGTATGTTGTTTATAGTGCTTTGCACTTCACAGCGTTTCACTTAATAAAAATCTGAATCTCCAGACAGTCTTTTTCTAAACTAACCGTTTCATGGAGGTGTGATGTATATAACATAAGCACACATTCTACTATTTTTAGTATATTTACAGAGTTGTGCAACCTTTGTCACTATTTAATTTTAGAATACTCCTATTGGACGAAAAAGAAATCTTGTGTCCGTTTATTTATTAGTTCTTCCCCATTCCCGGCAAGCACTGAACCCCTGCCTTTTTAAAAATCATATTCCAGTCTTAGAGGATGATCTAACTTGTCCAAGATCTCTCAGCTAATAAATGATAAAAAACAGGGTCAGCCCGGCCGGTGTGGCTCAGTGGTTGACCTGTGAACCAGGAGGTCAGGGTTCCATTCCCCGTCAGGGCACATCCCCGGGTTTCAGGCTGGATCCCCAGTGTGGGGCGTGCAGGAGGCAGTTGATCAATGACTTTCTCTCATCATTAATGTTTCTCTCGCTCTCTCCTTCTCCCTCTCGGAAAACAATGAAAATACGTGGGGTTAGGTGCTGTTGTGATGTGCCTTTCCCTTTCCATTATGTTTTGTTTCCTTACCCCGGCTTTTCTAGAAACTGCCCCTTCTCCAGCCAGGGCCTCCTGCCTCTCCTCCGCCCAGAATGCTGAGGGGTTCCCTGAGTTGAGAGAAACAGGATGGCACCCTCCGTCCCTGGAGAATGCTTCCTGCTCCCAGGTCCCCTGGGAGTGCCAGGCCAGTTGGCCTTGGTGCGGGCTAGTGGCCTTCCCTTCCCTCTCCCCAGGCGCTGTTCTGGCCTGGCTCTTCCCCCGGCTGGGTAGAGGCGGTGTTGAGATGGCAGGCAGGGTGAAGTTTGTAGCTGTGGGTAAGGCCCCCGGCCCACTGCGGGGGCAGACACTCCCTGGAATGTGGCTCCTGCCCGGACTGACTCCTCTCTTCGCACCAGAGATGCTGGCAGAGAGCGGAGGGGTCCTGCCTGCAGCCATTTCTCAGCTTCCCCAGTGACATGCCGGCAGCAAACACGCCCGCCCGCCCGCCTGTTAGCAAGTGGTCAAGGACCGGCCCGTGGGCACAGTTAGTGCCAGAGGCCTCCTTCCTGTCGGCGGGGATGTGAGCGGAGAGGAAGGGGGGGTGGGCTCTGGAGGCTCGGGCCCAGGGTCTGTTCACGCTTGGTCCTAAGGACCTCCACTTCCTGCGGCCCCAACTCAGGCTCCAGCCGAGTCCTGTGTCCATATCAGCCACCATGAGGTCTCTGTGTGTGTTTTTGAATGTGCTGGTGGCGATGCTTTCTGGAGAAGAGGGTGCAGGCATTGAGACTTACAGAGACGGAAAGTATGGTTGACCTCCTGGTTCGTAGGTTAAGGCTCAATCACTGAGCCACACTGGCCGGGCAAGTTTTTCCTTTTCCCCAGCAAATACTGATTAATGTCCTGCCTGAGTTTTCTTGTTTCCTTTTAGAAAAGATGCTGGCCCTCGCCGGTAGCTTGGTTGGTTAGAGGGTCTCGGGTTCTACCCCAGGTCAGCACATACAAGAATCAGCCAATGATTGCATAAGTGTAACAGCAAATCTCTCTCTCTTTCTCTCCCTTCATCCCACTTACCCTCTCTCTTTCCCACTCTCTCCCTTTCTCTCCCTCAAATCAATAAATAAAAGTTAAAAAAAGAAAAAGGAGAAAAGATTCTAATGAGGCCACCTGGGAAGAGAGACAAAAGGAGGAGAAAGCCCAGCCCTGCTGCCCACCTGTGCCCTCTGGCTGCCAGTGTCCTGGAGGGTGCTGGGCTCCCTGCCCCACTCGCATTGATTTCCCACCCTGCTTCCGCTCCAGGGTCTGAGGTCCTCCGCGGCCACGGCCTGGTGCTGGTGGCCACGGAAGGGAAGCACAGAAGTGCATGCTCGACCTTCCAGGGCTTTCTGTGGTTATGGGGCAGGGCCAGGAGCCCCGCTGTGGCTGGAGATGCACTGCCCATGTCTCTTGCAGATCAGGAGCTGGGAGTGGTGATGGCAGTGCCACCCCTGCCACAGAGCCTGCCCCTCCCCTTTCCTGCCCTGCCTCCGCCTCACCGCTTTCCGCTGTGTCCCCAGGAGCTCGAGAGACCGGGACCATGGCCACGTTCACCAGGAACCAGGGCGGCCCTGGAGGCAAGGGCTCAGCGACGGTGCAGGTGAGCTGGCTCGGGCCTCGGGGCCGGAGGGCTGTTGGGGAAGATGAGTTGGGCTCCTCTGTCCACCGCCCAGGAGTGAGAGCAGCAGTTCCTCCCGCCTCCAGGCCCCAAGCCTATTAGCCGGCGAGCGCTTATCTGAATCGGTTAATTGGTTTACCCGGAAAACACCCCTGAAGCCAGGAGGGGTTTCCAGCTGGACTCCGAGCTGTGCTCCTCTCCTTAGCCCTGCCAAGCGTTGGCCACGCGGACTTTCCTTTTTTCTGTTAATCCTCACCCGAGGATATTTTCCCACTGATTCTTAGAGAGAGTGGAAAGGAGGGAGAGACAGAGAGAAACATAGATGTGAGAGAGGCACATTGATTGGTTGCCTCCTGCACAAGCCCTGGCCAGGGCCCGGGCTGGGGAGGAGCCTGCAACCAAGGTCTGTGCCCTAGATCAGAATCGAACCCAGGACCCTTTGGTCCTAAGGCCGATGCTCTATCCACTTAGCTAGGGCATGCCGGACAAGCCTCGATGGACCCTCCTCTCCAGTACCCCCTCCTCTCACCCAGGGCCTCTCCACTCCCCGTACTTTCTCCTTTTTTCTGTCTTAATAGACAAAAGAGGCAGTTAAGCCAAGACTTGAGATAAGTCTGGTGGGACGAGCTAGTGGCCTAGATCCAGACCAAATTACCCTTCAGTGGAATGGCGCTCTGTGCAAGACGGTGCAAACCCTCACCTCCTCAGAGTCCTTCGGAGAGAGTGAGGGCTGGAGGTGCTGGTAGGAGTGCGGCTGGTGGTGAGGGGCTGGCCTGGGGTCTCTAAGGAGCTCCCTCCCTGCCCCCGCCTGCAGAAAGGGCCCTTGGACCTGATTGAGACGGGCAAAGGGCTGAAGGTGCAGACGGACAAGCCCCATCTCGTGAGCCTGGGCAGCGGGCGGCTCAGCACAGCCATCACCCTGGTGCCTCTGGAGGAAGGTGAGTCAGGCCCTCCGTCCTCAGACACATCCCTGCGGGGCCAGGCCTGTGGGAGCCCCTCGGCTCTCGCCGGCAGCGGTCACCTCCCCCAGTGGGAGGCGGGGCCACCCCACCCACCAGTTTGCTTCCCTGGCCTCTGCCTCCCAGACTGCCTGCCCTCCCTGGTGGATAATCTGGCCCCTCGACTAGGATTAAAGATCCCTTAGAACCAGGAGGAGCCGCTGAAACAGGAGAGCGCGGAGCTCCTAGCAACCAGGACGGCCCAGAAGCCAGGGGCCCGCTGCGGGCGGTGCCTGGCGTGGGAGCCGGTGCCAGTGCAGAGGGAGAGATGGAAGTGGGGGCAGAGCTCGCCCTCAGATAAGGCTCTGGCACGGCGCAGGCCCAGCTTCCTGGCTTCCTCTCTCCCCTGGTTGCACTGGTGCCTGGGTGATGCCACATTCCCCACATTCTGCAAATACCAGGCCTGGGGCTCTGCCAGGGAGGGTCTGGGCAGGCAGAGCAGTGAGGGAGGCCACACTGGAGAGAGGGAGTGAGGGCGGGCAAGGGCTGCAGGTGGCAGGAGGGAGAGAAGGAGAGAGGGAAACAGAAGGGGGGGGGGCGGATGGCGGAGGGGATGGCGGGCTGGGGCCCCGAGGAAGGTGTGCAGGAGAGAAGTGTGCGGCCTGGATCCCGCGGTGCCCTCTGGGCCCCCATCTTCGGTCCGGAGTTTTCTCTGCCTGAGAAGAGCTGCTCCCACAGGCCGAGGGCCCACAGGGGTGGCCGTGGGCAGGGGCCCTCCTGCAGTCGGAGGGGAAGCCCATTTCCAGCAGGCTCTCCTTGCCCTGTCTGCCTCCTGGGGCTGGGCAAATGCTCTGACTCAGTTTGCCTCCATCTTCAGGGAGGACAGTGATTGGCTCTTCGGCCAAGGACATCGCCTTGCAGGGGCCGGGCCTGGCCCCCGAGCACTGCTACATCGAGAACCTGCGGGGCACCCTCACCCTCTACCCATGCGGCAATGCCTGTGCCATCGACGGGCTCCCGGTCCGGCAGCCCACGCGGCTCACGCAGGGTGAGTGACCGCCTGGCGGAGCGGGAGAGGGTCTTGTAAAAGCTTGTGTGTGATGGCGATGGTGCAGGGGAAGCCTGCAGGGCGGTTGCCATGGTGACTGCCCTTTTGGGGGGGGGGGTTGTTCAGCTGCACCTGATGTGCCCAAGCAACCACTGGTCCTCATCCTGTGGTCTTCCCTGGCCGCCCTCCCCTCCTCCCCGCCCCGCCCGCCGAGAGGGGAGCACGGCCGGGCCTGCGGCCACACGGCCTGCATGTGTCAGTGTGGTTGGGAGAGCCTTCGGAGCAGTGGTTGGGCACAGTGGCACTGTCCCCGTGCCAGAGGAAAGCTGGAGAGGAGGGGGAGAGGGGGACACCCCCTGACAGGGAGGGGGAAGGGCAAAATCTGGGGACATGCCCACTCCTATTAGAAAATGTTGCCCTAGGCAATGTGGCTCAATGGATAGAGCACCAGCCTGCAGACTGAAGGGTCCCGGGTTTGATTCTCATCCAGGGCACATACTTCAGTTGCAGGCTCTAGCCCCAGTGGGACACGTGCAGGAGGCCACCACTCGATGTGTCTCTCTCAGTCTCTCCTCTTCCTTTCACACTCTCTAAAAATCAATGAAAAACCCTGACTAGTTTGGCTCAGTGGATAGAGTGTCAGCCTGCAGACTGAAGGGTCCCAGGTTCGATTCCAGTCAAGGGCATGTGCCTTGGTTGCGGGCACACCCCCAGTAGGGGGTGTGCAGGAGGCAGCTGATCGATATTTCTCTCTCATAGATGTTTCTAACTCTCTATCCCTCTCCCTTCCTCTCTGTAAAAATAAAAAAATCAATAAAATATATTTAAAAAAAATTAAAATCAATGAAAAAATATCCTCAGGTGAGGATTAGCAGCAATACCAAAGAAAGAAAAGGAAAAAGATGTTGGTAGCAGCTGTGGGGTCATGAATAGGGCCAGCACCTTGCTTCCCAAAGCAATAGGCCGTTCCCTGTGTGAGCTGGTTCTGAAACTGGCCCATCGCTATGGTGACCAGCGGACCGGCAGGGGTTGGCCAGTGGCACTTGGACAGAACCGGTGTGTTTGCCCTGGAGTCGATGCCGGGAGTGAGGAGAGCAGGTGCGGTGGGTAGACGGGGGCTCACGTGGGCGGTGAGCTGTGCTGACCTGGTTCTGAGCGGGACTGGGGTCCTGGAACCGCTTTCTGGGGACTCTCACCTCTGACCAGCTGCTCCCTGCTCTCCTGTTCCCACCTCTCAGGGTCTCTTTGCTCCCTGCTCTCCTGTTCCCACCTCTCAGGGTCTCTAAATGCTCCTCCCCTCACAGCTGACCAGGGACCCGGCCCGGCCTCCTCCCTTCTTCCTGCCATGGGGGCGTGCTGGGAAGACAGTGCCTGGCCGGCAGGCCCGGCAGCGGCAGCCCTGTCTCCTCCGGGGCTTCAGGCCTCTGGCTGAGTGAGAGGAGGAGCCCATGAACTGGGACTTTGGCTGTGAGGCCGTCTGATGGTCTTCCTCCCAGAGAGTCTTCCCAAGGCCTGGTGCATGGGAGTGAGACCCAGCACTTCCTCCCCAGCCAAGCCCTCACACTCAGGGCAGAGCACCCGCCGCGGTGAGCAGGGAGGCGCACGGAGGCCCAGTGGGATCAGCGTCTCCCTTGTTTGCTGAGATGAGGGAGGGCCTGGGCCAGACGGAATTCTCAGGCATTTCCTGTGACCCCATGACTCCCAGCTCCCTGCCCACTACATACCCTCCGCTCTCCTCTGACCCGGCCCCTTCCCTTTGCGCCCTCCCGTCCCTACAGCTGCTCGGCCAGGCTTGCCTGACCCAGGGGCCGGGCTGCCTGGGAGGGTAGGCAGAGGCACAAAGGAATGGGTGTTCTCCCAGCACCCCTCCCGGGCTCCAGGAGCTGAGGGTTTCCTTGTCTCATCTCTGGAGCAAGGCACCCAGCCCGCCCTGCCGGCCCCACTCCGGACATTCTTGGGAGTGCGTTTCCCTGGAAACGGGGCAGCTCGGGGGCGGACATGCTCTGTGTGTCTGTGTAAGGAGCGTGTTTATGTGTCTCCGGATGTTTGTGGCTCAGGGCTCAGCGCTGTGTTTGTGTCTGTGTCTCCCTGTGTTTGTAGAGGAGGGTGTTCCAGGAGCAGCAGGAACGTGGACTGATGGCACAAATGTCCGTGTGTGTTCCTCTGTGTGCGTGAGGGTCCCTGGCCACACACCTGTCTGGGCACACGTGCACGAGGACCATTTTCCCTGTCCTGTTCCCCAGAGCTGGCCTTGGTGAGGGCACCCTCACCTTTGAAAAAAGAAGGCGCCCCTGGAAGTGACAAGGAGCCGCTCTGGCTGGGCCAGGCCTGACGGGCATCACTCCGGGCACCGGGCCCAGCTGTTTAGGTGGCACATACCATGCCTGGCAGACAGGGCAGGGACAGCTCTCCCAGGGGACTATGCCTGGGCCACGGATGGGGGAGGTGAGCAGAAGGCAGATGCCGCTTTAGCCAGAGCCGCGGACATTGGAGCCCGGAGGGAGGCAGCAGGAGGACCCTGATCCCTCCATGCCCGGAGTTCGCACACCCTGCCCTGCCTCTTCTCCTCGGAGCAGGAGGTGGAGCTGGGGACAGGACCGGGAGACAGGAGGAACCTCCATCTGGGGCTGGGCTGCCGGCCCTGGGACCCAGGGCCAGGCATGAAGGTCTGGAGGAGACAGAGTAGGGGAGGGCCACACACTCAGGGCCAGGCTGTCCAGGCAGCAGGCCCCAGCCATGTCTCCCAGTCTCCTCACTCCCTCCGGCCCTCAGTGCTGGGCAGGGCCCGTGTGAGGCCAGCCTGGAGGCCCCAGGACAGGGCTAGGGAGCCACACGCCTGGGATCCAGGACAGGGAGCCTGTTCCTCTCCCACCCAATGACCACTTATTCCTCCTGCGAAACGGGAGTGAAGTCTCCAACGGAGAAAGATTTTGATTCTTGAAGCTCAAAGGAAGAAGAGAAAAAGCAAAGGCTCCCAGCTTCCCACTTTGCCTGTCTCCTCCCGCCTTCACCCTGAGCCAGCTGCCAGGTCTGCCCTGGCCGTCCAGGTTCCAGACGATGAATCACTCTTCCTGAGGAGAGCTTAGAGGCTTCCCTTTTCGTGCATTTGACCCTACATGGTCCTTCCTTCTTCCTGCAGAAGGGACTCAGACACGTGTGCACGCATGAGCTTATGAGCGCATGTGAGTGCATGAGTATAGTGTGTGGGTGTGAGCGTGTGTGTGTGTGTGTGTGTGTGAACTTGTAATGAGTGTGTGAGTATGTATGTGTGGGTGTGAGCGTAGTGTGTGTGTGAGTGATGTGAGTGCGAGTGAGTGATGTGAGAGCGTGTGCGTGAGTGATGTGAGTGCGTGTGCGTGAGTGATGTGAGTGCGTGTGCGAGTGAGTGATGTGAGTGCGTGTGCGTGAGTGATGTGAGTGCGTGTGCGTGAGTGATGTGAGTGCGTGTGCGTGTGAGTGATGTGAGTGCGTGTGCGTGAGTGATGTGAGAGCGAGTGCGTGTGAATGATGTGAGTGCGTGTGCGTGAGTGATGTGAGTGCGTGTGCGTGAGTCATGTGAGTGCGTGTGCGTGAGTGATGTGAGTGCGTGTGCGTGTGAGTCATGTGAGTGCGTGTGCGTGTGAGTGATGTGAGTGCGTGTGCGTGAGTGATGTGAGTGCGTGTGCGTGAGTGATGTGAGTGCGTGTGCGTGTGAGTGATGTGAGTGCGTGTGCGTGAGTGATGTGAGTGCGTGTGCGTGTGAGTCATGTGAGTGCGTGTGCGTGTGAGTGATGTGAGTGCGTGTGCGTGAGTGATGTGAGTGCGTGTGCGTGAGTGATGTGAGTGCGTGTGCGTGAGTGATGTGAGTGCGTGTGCGTGTGAGTCATGTGAGTGCGTGTGCGTGTGAGTGATGTGAGTGCGTGTGCGTGAGTCATGTGAGTGCGTGTGCGTGTGAGTGATGTGAGTGCGTGTGCGTGAGTCATGTGAGTGCGTGTGCGTGTGAGTGATGTGAGTGCGTGTGCGTGAGTGATGTGAGTGCGTGTGCGTGAGTGATGTGAGTGTGTGTGCGTGTGAGTGATGTGAGTGCGTGTGCGTGAGTGATGTGAGAGCGAGTGCGTGTGAATGATGTGAGTGCGTGTGCGTGTGAGTGATGTGAGTGCGTGTGCGCGCACGATGCGGGTGGGCAGGTGCTCAACAGGTGGAAGCTGCTGGCGATCCTGGAGGAGGCGGCCTTCGCTGTGGCGGCTCCAGGCTGAGTGTGTGCGGGGCGCCTGGGCCTGGGCAGGTGTGGGGTGCATCTGAGAGCCAGGATGGGGCTGACCGCGGACACGGTGCGTGTCTGAGACGGTGTCCCTGGAGCTCCTGCTTCCAGAGGCCGGGCTCCGGGGCTCCGGGCCGCGGGGGCGGGGCGGGGTGGGAGGGGCGGGGGCGGGAGTGGGGCGGGGCGGGGCGGGGGCGGGGTGGGGGCGCCGGGGTCTGGCCCAGGCTGTGGGTGAGCTGCTGCTGGGGTGGGCGCAGGGGGCAGAGAGGGGGCGCGGGGCCTAGGGACCTGGTCGCAGTGACCGCTGGGCTCCGGGCTGCACCCCTGGGAGCTCCGTCCAGTCCCCCGTGTGTGGACCGCCCGCACCCCGGACCCCGCGCCCCGCGTCCGCCCCGCGCGCTCCCCCCGCGCCCGCGCCGCCATCACTTCCTCTCCCGCCTCCGCCGCCGCCTCCTTTGTCCCTCCCGCTCCGCCCGCGCGGCCCGCCCTCCGGCCTGGTGGCGGCGCCGCCTGGCAGCTGGCGGCGGCCGGGGAGGGCTCAGCCCGGCCGCGTCCGGAGGTCCGGCTGGCGGTGAGTCCCCTCTGGCCGGCTGCAGCCCCAGGCCCGGGCGGGGACCTCGGGCGGGGGACCTGGGCCCCTCTCTGGGGGATGGAGGCTGAGACTCCATGAAGTGTGAGCCCTGAATGGGAGTCGGGGCGACGGCACCCTCCCCAGCGATGGGGCACGGACCGCCCCGGAGCGGAGGGTTAGGATGGGGGGTCTCTGATGGGAGGTCTAGGGCCCTTCTTTCCACCTTCCCAGCCCAGCCTCCGCCGCCCAGGCCGTCCTGTTCCCGTGGCCAGCAGGGCAGTGGCTGCCCGAGGGTGAGGGTGCCCGCCCGGGGGTGAGCGTGCCCGCCTGGGGGTAAGGGTGCCCGCCCGGGGGTGAGCATGCCCGCCTGGGGGTGGCGTGCCCGCCTGGGAGGGCAGAGAGCGGCTCCGGAGTGAGTGTGAGCCTGGTGTGAATGTGTGTGATGTTTCCCTCTGAGGGCTCAGACAGGGGACCCACCCTCTGCTTCTCCCTCTCCCTTTCCCTCTCCCTCTCTCTGGGTGCGACCCCCTGCACAGCACTGGGCCCTGAACCTTTGGGGACCCCCAGCTTTGCCTAGATGGTGGGCTTTTGGGCTTCCTGGGTGGGCTGGCCTTGGGGTGCAGCCCGGAAGGCGGAGAGGAGGGTCTCCCAGAAGCAGGAAGGCCGAAGGCACAGGACTGAAGTGGAGGCAGCTCCCGGCCCAGCGTGCATACAGAAAGTTAATTTGGGCCGGAGCTGGGCTGCCCTCCGTCCGCTGCCCTCCTGCTCATCTATTAATACAGACCAGCTCGGCCTGGCATCGCCTATTTATAGCCCAGAGCGGCACAGCCACACCCCTGCGTGGGGCGCAGGGCTGAGGTGGGCTGGGCACTGACGGGCAGTCGGCCTGGGAGTGAGTGGGGCTGTAGACAGCGCTGGCTGGTGGGGTGGAGCCTGGCAGGGCGGTTTCTGGAACGGCTGCGGTTGTAAGGAGGTGGGTGGATAGTTGGCTGTTATTTACTCCCGTTATGATTGCTCTGGGGTCAGCTCCTCTGATCGGAGGTTGGCAAGAAGGCTCCCCTCCAATCAGCCATTATTAGCCTTGCGCAGAGCTGGTGCCCACCTGCGGGGGTTGGGGGGGGCTGTGGTGTGCCAGAGAAGGGTGGCTTTGTCCACTGGGGTCACCTGCTCTGGGCTTCTCAGTCTGGAGGTCTCCCCATCCCCAAGTCAGTGCCCTGGTTCCGGAACATGCTGCTCAGTGGGGGGTCCGCTAAGGCACCCACGGGGCCTGGGATGCCCCATGACCTCGTGGCCTGCACTGTCTCAACGTCTAGGAATGTCGATTTCCCTGCCATTCTCGGCTCAGACTGGCACGAAGCTTGGGGTGCCAAGTGGCACCAGATTGGACAGATAGGCGGCCGGGGCCGGGGCCAGGCCAGGGGTGTGAAGCAATCAGAAGGGTGGGTGAGAGGATCACCAGGTCCCTCTGGCACCGCCCGGCCAGGAGGCACCAGGTTCAGGCGCCCGCAGGCACTCTGCTCCGCGGCCGCCTCCGTGCACTCGCTTCCTGAGCAGGACTGGGCTTGTGCTAATGCCTGGGGATGTGCTGGCGAGCCGGGCCCACTGGCCTGGGCTGGGCCGCATTCCAGGGGAGACGCCAGAAAGGAGGGTAACAGGCCAGAGGGCGCATTGGCAGAGGGAAGGGGTGGCCACGCCCACTGTTTGAATCCCAGGCAAATTGTGGTCCCCAGGGGCATTGGGGTGTCTCCCTGTCGCCTGCTCCGTGTTTCTGTGATCCTGAGACTGCCGCCTCTCAAGCTTACCCTCCACCCCGGGCGCCGGGTCCCTGTTGGCCTCAGGCCGGGACGAGGTGCCCGCGGCTCTGAGGACGGTCCTCTGCTCACAGAGCACTGTCTCCTACAAGGTCGGCGTGTCCTCATTTCTCTAAAGAGAAAACCACACTCGGGGCGGAGGTGGCCTCACTGTCAGAAGAAGCGTCAGGACAGTCCTTGGGTCTGGGGACTCACAAACCAGTGCTCCTTCCACTCTGCCCGTGCCTGGGCCCAGCCGGGACGGGGGACGCTGGGTGCAGGCGGGTGGCTCCCGGAGCCCGGGGTGCGCCTGCAGGTGGGTGAGGGCGCCCCCGCCTGCCCGCTGGTCAGCGTCTTCTCCTCCGAAGGCTGCATGCTGTGCCTGGGCCAGTCCACCTTCCTCCGCTTCAACCACCCCGCCGAAGCCAAGTGGATGAAAAGCATGATCCCGGCTGGGGGCCGCGCCCCGGGGCCCCCCTACGGCCCCGGCCCAGGTAGGAGGAGGTTGGGCGGGTGGTGCCCCTGGGACGGCCCCGCTCCTGGCCGCCTCCAGCCACTGGCAGAGTCAGGGCAGGACAGCACCCTGCACCGGGCTTGCTGCCACGGCCCGGCCCCGGGAGAGGTCCAAGAGTGCTCTTGGCTGGGACAGGGATCAGGTGCCTGGCCCCAGGCGCTCCCCGGTTAGCTCTGTCCGGCCCTCACCCCTCGCCATGCCAGGCCCTCCGAGTTGGGGCAGTGGTTCCAGCCTCTGGTTGGCTGCAGGGGGGCAGGGCGCCAGCGTGGCTGCCTGGGCTCACCGGAGGGCTGAGCTGCACTAGCTGCTGGTCAGCCTGGCTTCTAGGAACCAGCGGGCAGTGCCAGGCTGCTTCCTTGACTTTCATTGGACCAAGGGGTGCAGCATACACTCCCCCCCCCCCATTCAGTATTCCCCACCTCTCCCCTCCTCCCCCCTGTTCTCAGCCTGGGAGGTGTGGTGGGTGTTTTGTCCTGGGTCTTAGCTGCCGTGTCTGCAGCCCCTAATGTCCTACTGACAGGTCCCTCCTGGGACTGTCGGCAGGCATCTCCATAGCATGCCCACCCTGCTCAGAGTGTCCCTGCCCTTCCTGCTGAGAGACTTGGAGGTGGGGAAACCAAGGCAGGGGGAACCTAGACAGGGTGCGTAGGCGGCGACCAGCCTAGAGTGCCTGGCTGTTGCCGACTCGGTCCTAAGTCACGTGTGAGGGAGTGAGGGCGGGACGCCCGCTGCAGGCAGGGGGCGGCACAGGGAACCACATCTCCGGCCTCCCCCAGAGTCTTTGCAGCTCAGCTCTGCTCAGGGGAGGGCGCCGAGACCTCCCGGTCAGAGGCCAGGCCCGAGGCACCTGCGTTTGCCCTCACAGAGCCAGAAAGCCTAGTGAACGGGAACCACGCCCCGCAGCCTGCGGCCCAGGGCCCCGCTGCCTACACCAGCCACAGCTCCCTGGTGAGCTCCATCGAGAAGGACCTGCAGGAGATCATGGACTCGCTGGTGCTGGAGGAGCCCGGTGCCGCCGGCAGGAGACCTGCCGCCGCGTCCGCGCTGTCACCCGTGGCCAACGGGGGTCGCTACCTGCTGTCGCCCCCCACCAGCCCCGGCGCCATGTCTGTGGGCTCCAGCTACGAGAACACCTCCCCGGCCTTCTCTCCACTCTCCTCCCCGGCCAGCAGCGGGAGCTGTGCCAGCCACTCGCCCGGTGGGCAGGAGCCGGCCCCCCCGGTGCCCCCTCTGGTGCCCGTGCGCTCCTCCAGCTACCACCTGGCCCTGCAGCCCCCGCAGGCCCGGCCCAGCGGGGCCCGCCCCTCTGAGAGCCCCCGGCTGGGCAGGAAGGCGGGGCACGAGCGGCCCCCCAGCCCCGGCCTCCGGGGGCTGCTGCCCGCCAGCCCCACCGCGCCTGTCCTGGCCGAGGCCCACAGAGCCACCGAGAGCCCCTGGCGGGGTGGACAGCCGCCCATGGTGGCCATCAGCCTGAGCGAATACCCAGCTCCCGGCGCCCACAGCCAGCCCACCAGTGTCCCCGGCAGCCCCAAGTTCCAGCCCCCGGTGCCCGCACCCCGGAACAAGATGGGTGTGCTCCAGGACCGCCCCCCCAGCCCTCTGCGCGAGCTGCCGGGCAGCCCCTCCCGCCAGACGGTGGTCCGCACGCTCTCGGACGGGCCGGCCCCCCGCCCCCTGCAGCCCTCCGAGAGCCCCCGCCCGGGCCGCCGGGGCCTGGACAGCCTGCGGGAGCTGCCCCCGCTGAGCCCGGCCCTGCCCCGGCGGGCTCTGTCCCCGCTGCCCTCCCGGGCCCCCCCAGACCCCAAGCCGACCAGGGACGTGGCGGAGAGCCCCCGGGCCCGGCGCTGGGCAGCCCCCGGCGCTTCACCGGAGGACTTCTCGCTGACTCTGGGGGCGCGGGGCCGGAGGACACGGAGCCCCTCGCCCACCCTCGGGGAGTCCCTGGCACCCCACAGGGGCAGCTTCAGTGGCCGGCTGAGCCCGGCCTACAGCCTGGGCTCCCTTCCGGGGGCTGTGGCCCGGCAGAGCCCGCGCGCCCGGAGGAAGCTGTCGGGCGGGGACCTGCCGGCGCCGGCCGCCCGGGAGCGGAAGCATAGCATCACGGAGATCAGCGACAACGAGGATGAGCTGCTGGAGTACCACCGGCGGCAGCGGCAGGAGCGGCTGCGGGAGCAGGAGATGGAGAGGCTGGTGAGCAGGGGCCGGGGTCCCCCAGCACGTGGGCAGCCAGCGGGCGGGGTGCGGGCTGCAGGCCTGGCTGCTCACGCTTCCTCCAAGAAGCACCGTGGGGACGGCCTCCAGGGGCTGAAGAACTTTCTCTGACGCCTGTCAGTCTGTGTTTTATACTCAGCTTACGCCGTCACACTGCTTCTGTGTTAACGTGCACACCGTCTCCGTCACACCGCTTCTGTGTTAATGTGCACACCGTCTCCGTCACACCGCTTCTGTGTTAACCTGCACATCGTCTCCGTCACACCGCTTCTGTGTTAACGTGCACACGCTCTCCGTCACACCGCTTCTGTGTTAATGTGCACACCGTCTCCGTCACACCGCTTCTGTGTTAACGTGCACACCGTCTCCGTCACACCGCTTCTGTGTTAACGTGCACACGCTCTCCGTCACACCGCTTCTGTGTTAACCTGCACATCGTCTCCGTCACACCGCTTCTGTGTTAACGTGCACACACTCCGTCACACCGCTTCTGTGTTAACGTGCACACGCTCTCCGTCACACCGCTTCTGTGTTAACGTGCACACCGTCTCCGTCACACCGCTTCTGTGTTAATGTGCACACCGTCTCCGTCACACCGCTTCTGTGTTAACGTGCACACCGTCTCCGTCACACCGCTTCTGTGTTAACGTGCACACCGTCTCCGTCACACCGCTTCTGTGTTAACGTGCACACCGTCTCCGTCACACCGCTTCTGTGTTAACGTGCACACACACTCCGTCACACCGCTTCTGTGTTAACGTGCACACGCTCTCCGTCACACCGCTTCTGTGTTAACCTGCACATCGTCTCCGTCACACCGCTTCTGTGTTAACGTGCACACACTCCGTCACACCGCTTCTGTGTTAACGTGCACACACTCCGTCACACCGCTTCTGTGTTAACGTGCACACGCTCTCCGTCACACCGCTTCTGTGTTAACGTGCACACGCTCTCCGTCACACCGCTTCTGTGTTAACGTGCACACCGTCTCCGTCACACCGCTTCTGTGTTAATGTGCACACACTCCGTCACACCGCTTCTGTGTTAACGTGCACACGCTCTCCGTCACACCGCTTCTGTGTTAACGTGCACACGCTCTCCGTCACACCGCTTCTGTGTTAACGTGCACACGCTCTCCGTCACACCGCTTCTGTGTTAATGTGCACACGCTCTCGGTCACACCGCTTCTGTGTTAACGTGCACACGCTCTCCGTCACACCGCTTCTGTGTTAACGTGCACACGCTCTCCGTCACACCGCTTCTGTGTTAATGTGCACACGCTCTCCGTCACACCGCTTCTGTGTTAATGTGCACACGCTCTCCGTCACACCGCTTCTGTGTTAACGTGCACACACTCCGTCACACCGCTTCTGTGTTAACGTGCACACACTCCGTCACACCGCTTCTGTGTTAACGTGCACACGCTCTCCGTCACACCGCTTCTGTGTTAACGTGCACATCGTCTCCGTCACACCGCTTCTGTGTTAATGTGCACACACTCCGTCACACCGCTTCTGTGTTAACGTGCACCCACTCTCCGTCACACCGCTTCTGTGTTAACGTGCACACACACTCCGTCACACCGCTTCTGTGTTAATGTGCACACGCTCTCCGTCACACCGCTTCTGTGTTAACGTGCACACCGTCTCCGTCACACCGCTTCTGTGTTAACGTGCACACCGTCTCCGTCACACCGCTTCTGTGTTAACGTGCACACTGTCTCCGTCACACCGCTTCTGTGTTAACGTGCACACCGTCTCCGTCACACCGCTTCTGTGTTAACGTGCACACGCTCCGTCACACCGCTTCTGTGTTAATGTGCACACCGTCTCCGTCACACCGCTTCTGTGTTAACGTGCACACCGTCTCCGTCACACCGCATCTGTGTTAATGTGCACACCGTCTCCGTCACACCGCTTCTGTGTTAACGTGCACACTGTCTCCGTCACACCGCTTCTGTGTTAACGTGCACACCGTCTCCGTCACACCGCATCTGTGTTAATGTGCACACTGTCTCCGTCACACCGCTTCTGTGTTAACGTGCACACGCTCTCCGTCACACCGCTTCTGTGTTAACGTGCACACCGTCTCCGTCACACCGCTTCTGTGTTAATGTGCACACCGTCTCCGTCACACCGCTTCTGTGTTAACGTGCACACACTCCGTCACACCGCTTCTGTGTTAATGTGCACACGCTCTCTGTCACACCGCTTCTGTGTTAACGTGCACACCGTCTCCGTCACACCGCTTCTGTGTTAACGTGCACACGCTCTCCGTCACACCGCTTCTGTGTTAACGTGCACACCGTCTCCGTCACACCGCTTCTGTGTTAATGTGCACACCGTCTCCGTCACACCGCTTCTGTGTTAACGTGCACACACTCCGTCACACCGCTTCTGTGTTAATGTGCACACGCTCTCTGTCACACCGCTTCTGTGTTAACGTGCACACCGTCTCCGTCACACCGCTTCTGTGTTAACGTGCACACGCTCTCCGTCACACCGCTTCTGTGTTAACGTGCACATCGTCTCCGTCACACCGCTTCTGTGTTAATGTGCACACCGTCTCCGTCACACCGCTTCTGTGTTAACGTGCACACACTCCGTCACACCGCTTCTGTGTTAATGTGCACACGCTCTCCGTCACACCGCTTCTGTGTTAACGTGCACACACTCCGTCACACCGCTTCTGTGTTAACGTGCACACGCTCTCCGTCACACCGCTTCTGTGTTAATGTGCACACGCTCTCCGTGTTACCGAACACGGAAACCCTAGAGGAACACCCCCGTGTGCTGAGGCCGTGGCCCGCCCGCCCAGTTTGGGAAGCAGCCTCACTGGGAGGGCAAGGCCGGGGGCAGGGGGCTCTCCCCTGGGCCCATGGCAATTCGCAGAACTGGGATTGGAACCCGGGGCTCTTGTCTTCCCAAACTTGTTCTTCTTTTTAAAATATATTTTTATTGATTTCAGAGAGGCAGAGAGAGGGATAGAAACATTAATGATGAGAGAAAGTCCTGGATTGGCTGCCTCCTGAACGCCCCCACACTGTAGACTGAGCCCGAAAGCCGGGCCTGTGCCCTGACCAGGAATCGAACCCTGACCTCCTGGCTCATAGGTTGATGCTCAGCCCCTGAGCCACAGGCCGGGCCCAGGTCTCGTTCCTTAGAAAGGCGTCTGGTCCCTCTTTCTCGCTGCCCTTCGACTTCTGAATGTGTGGAGCCGCTCCCGGCCATGCAGGTCACCCGGAGGAGAGGGAGCCGGTGCCACCTGTGTGGTTGTGCTGTGTGTGCTGGGGTTTGGGTGTGCTGCAGCAGCTGTCCCAGAGAGCAGCAAGCCGCTGGGTGTGGGAATCCCCCAGGTGGCCCCGGGCTCGAGGGCACTGGCTGCTGTGCACTCCCTCGCATGCACAGGACAGTGGCTTTGCCCTTCCTTGAGCACTGGCATGGGGTTCCTGCGGGAAGGGGCGGGGGCCCTGCAGTTGGTTTGTGGAGGAGAATCAGAATTGAGGAGGTTGGCCCTGGCCGGTGTAGCTCAGTGGATAGAGTGTTGGCCTGTGAACCGAAGGGTCTCGGGTTTGACTCTGATCAAGGGCAGGTACCTTGCTTGCAGGCTCCTCCCCAGCCTGGGCCCTGATGGGGGCTTGTGCAGGAGGCAACTAATCAATGTGCTTCTTTCACATCGATGTTTCCGTCTCTCCCTCTCTCTTCCACTCCCTCTAAAAATCACGGGGAAACATCCTCGGGTGAGGATTAACAAAAAGAAACTGAGGGGGTTTGTCTGGAGTCTCTTTCTGAAGAGGTTGGGGCAGCTTTGGACGAAGTGAGGGTGCTGGGTGGGGAGAGATGAGGCGGGATCCCCAGGCAGAATGAAGGCCTGACCCGTCCACACATAGCTGTGCTCAGCCTGTAGCGCCAGACAGACAGACAGACAGACCTGGGACCCAGACAGACCAGGACGAGGTCCTTCCCCCCTCAGCTCCTCTCTCAGGCCACGAGGCTCCTTCCCAGAGGGGGCTGCTAAAAGCTCTGACCCAGGCAGTGTCCCCGGGGTCGTCCTGGGGCAGTGAGCCCGGTGCACAGAGGGGTGCCCCCCTGCCCCCCCCAGCCCCGACCTGCCACTTTAAGTCTGGGAGGCGCCACCTCCCCTCCCCTCTCCCAGGCTGCTTATCAGGGCGCTGAGGCAGGGCGAGGCCTGCCCGGCCTCCTGGGCGCTGAGGCTGTGCCTGGCTGTGGTGTCTCCTTTGCCGTGAAACTCGGCGAGCGGCCGCAGGGCAGCTGGTGAGTGTCCGTGGTTGTGGCCAAACTGGACACAGGAGAGGCACCTTAGGCGGGAGGGTGTGCGGAGTCGCAGAACATGGGGGAGGCTTGGGGCTCTGAGTGGGAAAGGGACCAGACCTGCAGCGTGATTAGACCTTCCTTCATGTCCTGGTCCCTGAGAGGGATCGGAGGCTGGGAGAGGCCGGGCTCAGCGTGAACACGGGGGCACCCCCTGGGCCGTAGGAGCAGCCCACCTCTGGGACGGAGGGGCCGGGCTCCCCGGGGGGGTAGCAGCCAGTGGGGGAGGGTCTGTCTGGCAGGGCTGAGCGCACCTCGGGGTGAATTTTAGGCCCCTGGGCCTGGGTCTGCCTCCTGTGTGGCTGCCGCCCCCATGCTGGCCTGCGTGTCTGCGTGCGTGTGGGCCAATGTGATGTGCGTGTTGGGGCTGGCCCAGGGCACGCACTGTGTCCTCCGTCAGGGCTGGGTGTGGGGTCCCTGTGCCCCTCGAGTCTGGATCTGCACGCACCCGTGTCAGCATGAGCACCTTAGTGTTGATCTGGGTCTTGCTGTGGCCGGGACTGCTCCCAGTGTGTGTTCCTCTGTCTGAGTGTGCCCACTGGGACAGGGAGAGGGAAAGGAGGGAAGACAGAGGGAGGGGCTGGCCATGCAGCCTGCTCCTGCTCACTTCTGGGGTTCCCTCATCCCCTCAGCCTCCTTAGAGCTGGGCGGGGCGGACGGGTTGCTTTCCTGACTTGATCTGAGCTCGAGCCCCAGAACCCTCCTCTCCTGAGAGACGTGCCTGGCCCAGCCCCACAGGCCAGGCCGCCTCCCTCAGCCTCCGTCCCCTCCCCAGGAGCGGCAGCGCCTGGAGACGATCCTGAACCTGTGCGCCGAGTACAGCCGGGCGGACGGGCCCGAGGCCGGGGAGCTGCCCAGCATCGGGGAGGCCGCTGCTGCCTTGGCCCTGGCCGGCCGCAGGCCCTCGCGAGGCTTCCCAGGAGCCCCTGGGGGCCCCGGGCGGAGCGGCGAGGAGCCTGGGGGAGGCCCTGTGCGGCTATGGGAGAGCATGGACCGCGCCGAGGAGGACAACCTCAAGGAGGAGTGCAGCAGCACCGAGAGCACCCAGCAGGAGGTGGGGTGCGGGGAGCAGGGAGCACCCAGCAGGAGGTGGGGTATGGGGGGGTGGGAGCACCCAGCAGGAGGTGGGGTATGGGGGGGTGGGAGCACCCAGCAGGAGGTGGGGTATGGGGGGGTGGGAGCACCCAGCAGGAGGTGGGGTATGGGGGGGTGGGAGCACCCAGCAGGAGATGGGGTATGGGGGGTGGGAGCACCCAGCAGGAGGTGGGGTATGGGGGGAGGGAGCACCCGCAGGAGGTGGGTGTGGGGTGGCCAGGCAGAGCAAGCAGGCATTGTGGGGGTGCCAGGGCCCAGGCGGAGGAAGTAATTGAAGGATTGGTTGGGAAGGGGCGGGGCGGGGCGGGGTGGGGCAGCGGTTCGCAGGCTATAAATATGCTCGGGGCCAGCCCTCCTCGCCCGCCCGGGCCTGGCACGGTGGGCAAGCTCTATTCCCGGCGGCAGGGCCCCTCTGGCTGGGAGGGAAGCTGCTTTCCGTCCACGAGCCGAGGGACGGGGACCGTCCTCCCCTCACCCCGGAGGCTCCGGGCCCTCCGGCTGACGCTGGCCTCCTGTCCAGCATGAGGAGGTGCCGGGCGCCGGGCTGCAGGGCGAGGTGCTGGCGCTGGAGGAGGAGCGGGCGCAGGTGCTCGGGCGCGTGGAGCAGCTCAAGGTGCACGTGAAGGAGCTGGAGCAGCAGCTGCAGGAGTCGGCTCGCGAGGTAGCGCCTGCAGGGCTGCGGTTCGGGGCCGGGGCCGTCGGGTCTGAGGCCCGGGCCGGCCTGACGTGGACGGGGTCGCTCCCAGGCTGAGATGGAGCGGGCGCTGCTGCAGGGCGAGCGGGAGGCGGAGCGGGCGCTGCTGCAGCAGGAGCAGAGGGCGGCGGAGCAGCTGCAGGAGAAGCTGGTGGCCCTGGAGACGGGCGTCCAGAAGGAGAGGGACAAGGTAACCGCACCGGCCGCGCTCGGGGCCGGGCCGGCCTGGGAGAGAGGAGAGACGCCTCTCGGGCCCCTCACCCCTCCTCCATCCTCTCGCCTGCAGACCAGGCGGCCTCGTGGCGCTTCAGGGCGGAAGGTGGCGGCTCGGAGGTCCCCGCGGGCTGGGCTGGTCACCTTGGTCTGGGCCTCTGGCTGGGTCTCTGCGGTCCTGGGTGCCTGCGTTCTGGGCCTGCTGGGAAGCACCCAGGCCCCTGCTGGGCAGGGAGCACAGGGAGGCCTGGTGCTGGGAGCGTGCAGGCTGGGCCCCTGTGGGGAAGGTCTCCAGCAGGCTGCCTCGGAGGGCAGGAGGTGGTCTCCGGGAGAGCCCTCAGGCCTCTGCTCCCCTGAGCCTCCAGGATCCCCAGCTCCATCCCTGCCCCTCTCAGGTTTAGTGCCAGCCTGCAGGGACCGCTTTATCCCCGAGGGCCATGCCAGCCACACCCAGGAGGGCCTGCCATGAGCCGAAAGCTCTCAAGTGGCGAGGGGCCATTTATTTTTGGACTGACAGTATTTTTCTAAGAATTCATTCTCCTGCATTTTTTTGAGTGTCTCTCCTTCCCCTCAATTTGGAAGCTCTTACAAATTCTTTGACAACCACCCTCTTTTTGAATTTTGGCTCTGGGCCCCAGAACCACACTCCCAAATTCTGTGCCAAATTAACTCCATGCTCACCAAACAGGCCTGCACTAATGTCCCCGTCACTGTCCTGGCTCTGCGCACGCCCCAACTCCAGTGCTCCTGGCCGGGAGAGCTCTGGCCCCGCCATGCTGCACTAACCGCGGGCTGGGGGTCTCTCCCTCTGACGCTGCCTTCTTCCTTTCTGGGTGTGGCCCCAGGGTTTGGGTCAGAAAAGCACTGGCCAGGGCACAGCTCCGCCTGGCTGCGTGGGGCCGGCAGGAGGCGCAGGGCTGGGGAGATGCTTGGCTGAGGGGCCGCTCAGCCTGCAGAGCCCTCCCCTTTGGGAGGCTGGGGCTGCCCCTGCAGACGGGGGCAAGGGAGGCCTGCTGCCCCCAGCGCCTGCCCGCCTTCCTCCGAGCGGGGGGTGAGGAGGCCAGTGGTGCAGCATGGTTGTGGAGGGCGGTCTGGGGGCTCCCCAGCGGGCGCCCCAAATGCAGATCTTCAGGCAGAGGGAGGGAATGGGGGCCTCTCGCCTCCTGCCCGAGTCGTCCAGAACATGGGGTACCGTAAAGGTCGAGTTCGAGGACGGGAGGTGCTTGGAGCCCTGACTAAACTGGCCAGGCCCCCTCCCGGGTGGAGGTGGGTTATGGGGTGGGGGCCTATTCCTGGAGAAGCTCACGTTCCAGAAGGAGCCTGCCAGCCGCACTCCTCCTGCCCCCCCCCCCCCCCCCCCGGCCTGGCCTCAGCCTGAGGCCATCCCTGAGGGTGCGGGAGCCCCACTCTGGCTTTGGGGTCAGTAGCCGGTTTCTCCCCTGCCTGCCTGTCCTTTGGAGGTGACTCACCAGCGCCTCCCGCCCTGCCCTGCCCTCAGGGGTGTCATCTCGCCCCAGACAGAGCCACCCACTCCTCTCTATCCCTGGCTGGGGCACCGGTTACCATGGCAACGCCTGCACTAATTGCAGCCCTCAGCCTGCTGACGTCCAGCCTGTGGTACCAGCACTCACCCCGCCCGGCAGGAGGGAAGAGCCACGGGGCTGGGCTGGGGTCCCCCTGCTGCTCCCCGCTGCCATAGCTTCTGCTCTGCTCCCCATCCACACCCATCCCCTGCTCCCCACCCGGATGTAACACCACCTTCGCCTTCCCCCAGGGGTAATTTTGGTCTCTGGCGGGAGGTGCAGGAGCTAGAAGCTCCCATTTGGGATGTGGAACCACCTTTGGCCTTGACTGGTTTAGAGAGAAAGCAGGTTTTTTCCTTAATATATTTTTATTGAGTTCAGAGAGGAAGTGAGAGGGAGAGATAGGAACATCAACGATGAGAATCATGGATCAGCTGCTGCCTGCACGCCCCCTACTGGGGAGGAGACCACAACCCAGGCATGTGCCCTGATTGGGAATCGAACCTGGGACTCTTCAGTTCGCAGGCTGACGCTCTATCCACTGAGCCACACCAGCCAGGGCGTAGGGCTTTTTCTTAGGCCCTTCTCCCACGTGTCCAGTTGAAGGGACTTGGAGAGACCAACATTTCCGCCTGGGCCCACCCCTCCGCCTCAGCTCCTCGCTCCCCTCCTGCTCCCTCCCCCTCACGCCCCTCTGCTCCTCTCCTTCCCTGTTCTCTCCTGTTACTTGTCTTGTTTTCTCTCCTCTCCCGCCCCCTCGCCTGCTGTTGCCCGGAGTTGAGGAGTGTGTGTTCTCTCTCCCGCCCGCCCGCCACCAGGAGAGGGCGGAGCTGGCCGCGGGACGCCGGCAGCTGGAGGCCCGCCAGGCGCTCTACGCCCAGCTCCAGAGGCAGCTGGACACCTGCCCCGAGTCAGTGCGGGAGCAGGTGCAGGAGCAGCTGAGAAGGGTCAGTGTCACCAGCCCCCTCCCTGGCCCGAGGGCCTGCGGAAGAGAGGAGAGCGCGGGACAGGACCGCCTGGGCCCTGCGGGGCCTGCCAGGACGCCAGGGTCGGTGCTTGTTTGGAGGGGACAGAGGATTGGGGCCTCTCCTTCCCGCGGCTCCAGGTGGTGATGCCTGTGCGGGGCCCAGCCACGCCAAGGAGAGGGGCTGGGTGGTGGCAGACCTTCCCTGTGTCCCCGTCCCCGGGTCCAGCCCCCAAACTCGGAGGGATAGTTCACGCACCGCCCCCCCCCCCCCCCCGTGTCGCTGTCGTTCAAGGAGGCCGAGGCCCTGGACACGGAGACAAAGCTCTTTGAGGACCTGGAGTTCCAGCAGCTGGAGCAGCAGAGCCGCGTGGAGGAGGAGCGGGAGCTGGCCGGCCAGGGGCTGCTGCGGAGCAAGGCCGAGCTGCTGCGCAGTGTAGCCCGGAGGAAGGTGTGCCCGCTGCCCCCCACTGCTGCTGCTCCCCGCTGACCCCCGCTGACCCCGCTGCCCCCCCGCTGCCCCCTGCTGCCCCTGCTGCTCCCCGCTGGTTCCCACTGCCCCCCGCTGCCCCCTGCTGCTCCCCGCTGCTCCCTGCTGCTCCCTGCTGCTCCCCGCTGCCCCCCGCTGCTCCCTGCTGGTTCCCACTGCCCCTCGCTGCCCACCGCTGGTCCCTGCTGCTCCTTGCTGCTCCCCGCTGCCCCTCGCTGCCCACCGCTGGTCCCTGCTGCCCCTGCTGCTCCTGCTGGTCCCTGCTGCTCCCCACTGGTCCCCGCTGCCCCCCGCTGCCCCCGCTGCTCCCCGCTGGTTCCCACTGCCCCCCGCTGCCCCCCCGCTGCTCCCCGCTGCTCCCTGCTGCTCCCTGCTGCTCCCCGCTGCCCCCCGCTGCTCCCCGCTGCTCCCTGCTGGTTCCCACTGCCCCTCGCTGCCCCTCGCTGCCCACCGCTGGTCCCTGCTGCTCCTTGCTGCTCCCCGCTGCCCCCCCACTGCTCCCTGCTGGTTCCCACTGCCCCTTGCTACCCCCCGCTGCCTCCTGCTGCTCCCCGCTGCCCCCCCTGACCCCCCTGCCCCCTGCTGTTCCCCACTGCTCCCCTACTCCCCTCTGGCCCCCTCCCCCATTGCTCCCCGCTGCTCCCCACTGCTCTCCTCTGGCCCCCTCCCCCACTACTCCCCACTACTCCCCACTGCTCCCCGCTGCTCCCTCTGCCCCCTCCCCCACTGCTCCCTGCTGCTCCCCACTGCTCCTCTCTGGCCCCCTCCCCAACTGCTCCCCACTATCCCCAGCTGCCCTCCACTGCTTTCGCTGCTCCCTCTGCTCCCCACTGCTGCTCCCCGCTGCTCCCAGCTGCGGGCTAGGTACACAGCTGGGTGGGCTGGAGGCCAGTGACCTGAGTTTGAATCCCTGTTGATGGCCTTATGGATGTTAACTTTGCCTTTCTGAGCCAGTTTCCTCATCATCAGAGGAGAATAATAATAATAGGCTGTTGTGAGAATTAAACCAAGATGCTGTGAAGACAGTATGGGATATGATCATAGTAAGCACTCAGTGAACTATAGCTATTGTGAGTATTTTTTAATATATATTTTATTGATTTAGAGAGGGAGGGAGAGGGAGAGAGAGAGAGAAACATCCATGATGAGAGAGAATCATTGATTGCTGCCTCCTGCACACCCCCACTAGGGATCAAGCCCACAACCTGGGCATGTGCCCTGACCAGGAATCAAACCAGCGGCCTCTTGGTTCCTGGGTTGATGCTTAACCGCTGAGCCAGCCCCGGCTGGGCAGTAGCTGTGGTGATGAAGCCCTGGCTCCCGTTCTGCGTGGGGCGCTGGGGGGCAGTGAAGGGGAAGGAGAGCTGTCTGTGGGGTGCTGGGGCTCCTGCAGAGACACATCTGGGTGTTAGGCTCATCCCCAGGTCCTGAGAGGCATCCTGGGTCCCAGTGTGGCTCAGCCCTGGGTCACTGAGCCCTAAAGCAAGGGACTGGCCCCGTATCCCACTGTCCCCGAGCCCAGGGGCTGTGATCACTTCCGGCCTCGGAGAGGGGGCGGAGTGTGTGCCTGAGGCTGGGAGGCAGGTTGGGAGGAGGCTCGTGTTAATTCCGGGTTAGGAGGAAAATGGGAAGATGGCGGGGCTTCCGGGCCTGTGGCTGAGCTTGCACGCCTGCACATGGAGCGGTGCCGAACGTGGCGAGTTGGGGACTTGCCAGCTAGCCTGGGTGTGGTGGGGAGTGGGGAGCCCCTGACCCTCCCCCGAGTTCAGACCCCTTGCCCTGCCTTACGACTGCACCCTCTTCCGGGGAGAGGCAGGGGAGAGACAGGGGAGCAGCCCTCACTCCCCAGCCCCTGGGCGTGTGAAAAGGCCTGTGTCCGCTCATTCTGACCTTAGCATAGGGTGGTCTCAGCCCAGTACTTTCACCCATTTTATTTTCAATTTTAAAGTTATTTTATTGATTTGAGAGAGCGGGAGAGAGAGAAACATCATTAAGATGAGAATCATAATCGGGTGCTTCCTGCACCCCTCCCCCCCGTACTGGGGATCAAGCCCACAATCTAGGCATGTGCCCTTGACTAGAATCGAACCCGAGATCTTTCAGTTCACAGACTGACACCCTATCCACTGAGGCAAACCAGCTAGGGCCTCTTATGCCATTTATATACGGGGTCAAGCAAAAGTAGATTTATAGATGTTTGTATGGGCAGTTATACAATAATTCCTATATAATAAAAAGTCAATATGCAAATGGACTGAATCTCCAGTGCAATCACAGCAACCGGTCGCTGTGATTGCACTGACCACCAGGGGGCAGATGCTCAATGCAGGAGCTGCCCCTTGGTGGTCAGTGTGCTCCCACTGGGGGAGCACCGGCTGGTGAGTGCAGCGGTGGTGGCAGGAGCCTGTCCCACCTCTGGTAGCCCTAAGGATGTCCGACTGCCAACATAGGCTGTCAGTCTGACATCCCCAAGGGCTCCCAGACTACAAGAGGGCGCAGGCTGAGCCTCGGGACCCCCCTGAGTGCACGAATTTCATGCTCCGGGCCTCTAGTTAAATAACAGGAATAGACTGCTTCACGCACACACTTTTGTACAGGTTCTGCACACCTAAATTGCCCCACCCCATACAGGGAAACCAGGGCTCAGAGAAGCTCCAGATTTGCCCCAAACCTCCCAGATACAAGCTTCAGAGTCGGGATTGGAACCGAGGCCTGCCTGCCCCAAAGTCCTGTCCTGTCCTGCCAGGCGCTGCCCGGGGCTGGGGCCAGCCCTCCTCTGGCCTCTTCCACTTTCCTGCTATGGGTTCCAGTCCGGGTGGGTATAAGCTCCAGGGGGTTTGGGAGGGGGGTAGTATTGCACTCCTGGTCCCTCTCACTCATGCCCCCCCAGGCCCCCAGGAAACGGGCTCAGCCACTGGGACGCAGGGTTGTATTCGCCCTGTGCTTCTCCTCAGAGCCTTGCTCAGCTGTCCTGTTGGCTCCCTGTGTCCGTCCCCGCCTCTGTCTGCCCGGCACCCTGGGCTTTCCTGTCTCCTCCAGTGGGGATCAGAGTGGCTCAGAGGATGGCTTTGGCGTTCAGATGACCTGGTTCTCATCCGATCTCTGCCATTTACTAAGTTGCCTTACCTCCTAAGTTCTCTGTTCTTATCAGTAAAATGGGCACAAATGCCTCATAAGACAGTTAAAGGAGGTAACAGCCCAGTCGGTGTGGCTCAGGGGCTGAGCTATGAACCAGGAAGTCAGGGTTCGATTCCCGGTCAGGGCACATGCCCGGGCTGTGGGCTCGCTCCCCAGTGTGGGGCGTGCAGGAGGCAGCTGATCCATGATTCTCTCCCATCATTGATGTTTCTCTCTCCCTCTCCCTTCCTCTCTGAAATCAATAAAAATATGTTAAAAAATATATTTTATTGATTTTTTACAGAGAGGAAGGAGAGGGATAGAAAGTTAGAAACATCGATGAGAGAGAAACATCGATCAGCTGCCTCCTGCACACCTCCTACTGGAGATGTGCCCACAACCAAGGTACATGCTCCTGATCGGAATCGAACCTGGGACCCTTCAGTCCGCAGGCTGACGCTCTATCCACTGAACCAAACCGGTCTTGGTAAAATACATTTTTTTTTTTTAAAGGAGGCAACAAATGCCAGCATTTAGCAGAGTTCTTGGCCCTTAATAGGTGCACAGTCGGCTGCGTCTGCTTCAGTCTTTCCAGGCTGGCCCGGCTTAGGTTGGCTTCCTCCTCTCGCTGTCCCATTCTTGCTCTTCAGGGTCGTTGGCGGTTTAAGACCTTTCTTTCAGGAAGCCCTCCGGGGTTAACCTGGCCATTCTCCCAGCCCCGTGCTTTTCTCTCACTTACTGTCCTTCTAGCTCCTGTTTGTTGAGCCAGGCACTGTGCTAAGTCACTGGGGATGTGGAGTAGGAGCGGCCAGCCACGCTCTGAGATGACGCCCTGGTGGTGGTGATGGAGACGTATGTTCACAAGTGACAGGCTACAGCAGATGGTGACACAGGATAGTGAGTGCGGAGGAGCAGACACTGAGCGGTGGTCGCGGAAGATGTTAGAGAAAAGAGCATTTGGACCCGTCGTAAGGCCACGTCAGCGCCTGCTGGCGAAGGAGGCGGCCTGGCTCTCCGGGCTGCAGGGCCGGCGGGAGGGAGCCCGGGGCTGGCTGTGCCGTGGAGGGGACGGGGCCGACCGGACGCAGGGCTCAGGGGGGAGGTGACAGGCGCAGACCGGGCCTGGGCGCCCCTGAGGAGTGTGTGCTTCCTCTGGAGGGACGAGGAGCCGCTGGAAGCATTTCAGGAGAGGAGCGATCTCACTTTACCCGTGGACTCAACAGAGTAATTCAGCCCGGCCGGCGTGGCTCAGTGGTCGAGTGTCGACCTATGAACCGGGAGGTCACGGTTCTATTCCCGGTCAGGGCACAGGCCCGGGTTGTGGGCTGGGTCCCCACTGTGGCAGCCAATCAAGGCGTCTCATTGTTGATGTTTCTGTCTCTCTCTTCCTCTCCCTTCCTCTCCGAAGTCAATAAAAACACATTTAAAAAATTTATTAAAGTAATATATGTTCTCCTTAAGAGATTAGAAAATTCGGAGAAGCAGGCAAGCAAAAGCAACCCTCAGAGGTGCCTCAGAGGTGTCTGCGGCGTGTGGGACAGATCGGGGAGCTGAGAGTTGGCAGAAGGAGCTGAGGAGGCCCAGGCGGGGATGCAAAGGCCCGGGTTTGGGTGGTGACGGTGTGAGCGGAGGGGGCGGGTGTTGGAGGTCGTGGGTTCTGGCTGGTGTGCTTTGTGGCACGGGTCAGTGGTCCGGCAAAGGGTGTGGGTGGCTGGCCGCAGCAGCCTGGGTTGTCCGGGGTGAGTGGAGGCCAGGCAGAGAGCTGTGGACTCCCTTCACTGAAGCCAGGGTCAGGGAGACGGCCGAGCCTCACCTTGGGCTCAGCCTGGCTCCCAGGCTTGACTGACCACCCGGCCCCCTCAGGAGCGCCTGGCAGTGCTGGACAGTCAGGCCGGGCAGATCCGGGCTCAGGCCGTGCAGGAGTCCGAGCACCTGGCCCAGGACAAGAACGCCTCCCTGCAGCTGCTGCAGAAGGTAGCCGTGTGTGTGTGTGTGTGTGTGTGTGTGTGTGTGTGTGGTGTGCAGGCTCCCCCTTTGCTCGCTGTCTCTTCCCTCGCTGCCACACGCACTCCCTCTGAGTCTGCGCTCTGGTTTGCAGGAGAAGGAGAGACTGGCGATGTTGGAGAGAAGACACCACGCCCTCACGGGAGGCAGGCCTTTCCCGAAGACGCCGTCCACCCTCAGAGAGGTAGCGGAGGGTCAGCCCAGCCTCGCCGCGGGGTCTCCCTGGGAGATTCTGGAGCCACGTGGCACTCTCACCCCAATGGCTGCGCTGAGGATGGGGCAGAGATGGGAGAGGGATGGTCCTAGGGTCTGGGACTCGATTCTTGATGGCTACCAGCTGCTGCTGCCACTGTGTGTCCTCTCTTTTAAAATATGTTTTTAGCCTGACCAGTGTGGCTCAGGGGTTGAGTGTCGACCTATGAACCAGGAGGTCAAGGTTCGATTCTGGGTCAGAGCACATGCCCAGGTTATGGTCTCGATCCCCAGTGTGGGGGTATGCAGGAGGCAGCTGATCCATGATTCTCTCTCATCATTGATGTTTCTATCTCTCCCTCTCCCTTCCTCGCTGAAATCAATAAAAAGTATATATATATATATATATATATATATATATATATGTATAAAAGAAACATATTTTTATTGACTTCAGAGAGGAAGAGAGAAAGAGAGCTAGAAACATCAGTGAGAGCCCGGCCAGCGTGGCTCAGGGGTTGAGTGTCGACCTATGAACCAGGAGGTCGCAGTTCATCCCTGCTCAGGGCACATGCCCGGGCTGCGGGTTCGATCCTCAGTGGGGTGCGCAGAAGGCGGCAGGTCCATGATGCTCTCATTCGGACTGGGGGGGGGGGGTGGCGGGGAGTATGGGGAGAGCACCTCACCAGTGCCCTCGCTGTGGGCTGGCCTGCTCACCTCCCAGTCCTCGAGGTGGCACTGGGGCCTGCGCTCAGGGCCGTTCCCGGGTCATCTCGGGCGGGTGCCTCCTCTGTCCTTCTCCCCACCCGCCTCCACTCAGCTCTGCTGCAGGCACCGGAGCCCTCTGCCCGCCTGCGCCTCCCGGGCTCCGGCCTGTGCTCCCGGGCCCGCTGAAGGGCGTGTGGCCAGCCCGCGCCAGAGTGTGCGGGTTGGGCCCTGGCACTGGGCAGCCTGTTTGCATGTATTCCGTGTGCCATTGTCAGCCTCACACAGCCCTCCACACCTGTTCGTTTTCCATGACCCCTGGAAACGTCAGCCTCCGAGCGAGGCCCGGCCTCCCGGACAGCCTGGCCCCCTCTGATTCGCATGCTGTGCCCCCAGCACCGGGCTCCCGAGGAGATGCTCAGGGATATGACAGTCCCGCCCACCGCACAGCCTGTGTGCTGGCATCTGGGCAGAGTCCCCTGTGCTTTCAGCTGCTTCCTGCCCGTCTCTTTCTTGCTCAGCCCTGAGAAGGGTCCCCCCGCCCCCCTTCCACCCCTGCCCAGTGGGTGGGCGAGCAGGCCCTCGGGTGTGGCGTGACCGTGTTGTGTGCTGTGCGAGCCCCGGGGATGGGGCGCCCGCGGTGTCGGAGGCAGCCTGCTCTGGGCACTCTGCGGCCCTGAAGGGCCAGCCCTGGGCAGGGGCAGGGGCAGGCGAGGAGGCCTGGGCACGGCTTCAGGGGCTGCTGGGGAGTGAGGCCCACAGGAGCCCGCAGACTCCCCACAGCCCTTTCCTGCCCGCCCATCGGTGCTTGCAGCGGTGTTGCCTGGGATGGGTGTGGTCCTGAGGTGGTATCTGGGGCAGCCCCTCTGCCCCCTCCCCCCGGGACTGAGGGGCCGGGCCTGTGCTCCCGCCTGAGTGAGGGCCACCTGGTGGGTCCTGGTGCCCTCGTGCCTGGGCGGCCTAGCGTGAGGGAGAAGGGCGCCGGGTAAAGGGGTGGGGGCTCCCTCTGGCCCGGGCCTGGGGCTTCCTGTAGTCCTGGCAGCTTGGGGAGTGCAGCTCTGCCCTGGCAGGAGGGCCTGTGCCCAGAGGGCTCTGAGCCTCCTCTGCTCCTGCACTGCCACCCCTCACCCTGGGCAGGGCCGGCTCTGGGTCCCAGGCCCATTAGCCTCTTGTGCCCCCTCCCGCTTCCCGGCCTCCCCCGCGCGATGCCCAGGCAGCTAACGGCCATGGGCACCTCGCCATGGGCCTCTGCCTCCCCGACCCGGTTCCACCTGCTGCCTCCTCCCGGGCTGCCCTCCCTGCCATCCCACCCTCCCCGAGCCCGCCGTGGCCGTCCGCCCCCGCTCAGCCCGGGGCCTGGAGCGGCCTGTCTCCTCACACATTCACAACAGCCCTTCCTTCTCTTTCTGCTCTTGTTTCTCCCTTCCTTCTCGCCTTCCCTCGCCTCCCGTCTGTGTCTCTGGAATGGCCTTCCCTTCACTGCCCTCCCTCTTCCCTTTCCTCCCGCCTCCCTCTGCCCTCATCCCGGGCCTTCCCTCTGCCCCCTTCCCGCTTTCCCAGCCGGAGCCGCTGCCCCCCACTGGGCACTCAGAGCCATGGCACCAGGAGCTGATGGCCGGGCTGGGGACCCCCGCACCAGCCTCCCCTCGCTCCTCCCCCCCACCTCTGCCCGCCAAAGCCTTTCGCCAGCTGCAGGTAACCCTCCTCGCTGCCGGCCCCTCCCTGCGCCTCTGCTCCTGCCCTCCTGCCGCACCTGCCGCCTGAGACGGCGGGTCCAGCGGGCGGTGTGGGCCTGGCCCTGGGTGGCCTGGGTGGCCCTGGCGTTTTTCTAAGCCGCGGGCAGCCGAGGCCACCGCTGGGGGACTGCCTGCCCAGGAGGAGGGCTGGCCGGCCTGGCTCTGCTCCGTCCGCCCGCAGCCCAGCCCAGCCCAGCGCGGCGCGGCCCACCGAGCCTGCTCACGGTGCGTGTCGGGGAGAACCGCATCTGCTCTCCTTGTCTTCCCGGGACACGGGAGCAGAACGGGGCACAAGCCCCGAGGACAAGCCGAGCCCCTCGGTGCTGCCATGGGGGAGGGCCGCGTAGCCCCCGGCTTGCTGCCGAGCCCAGGCCCACGGCTTCGGGCTGTGCGGGCCTGCACCCTCAGGCTGACTGAGCGAAGCTCCGTGTCCCCTTGGGAGGTTTGGTTCGTGCACGTGGGGCGCCGCTCCAGACACGGCTCCGAGGAGATGGGTAACCTCCCGTACCCACCGAGTCAGGAGGGAGCAGAGCCTGCAAGTCGGGTTCTCTCTCCCGACACGGGCCCTGAGCTGTGGGAGAGCAGCCCTTAGCTGGCCGCTCCCCCTCCCAGTGAGGAGGCTCAGCCAGGCGGTGGCCGAGCTGGGACCACGGGAGCCAGCCTCCCATGCGCTCCGCACACTCTGCCCCGAGCGCGGGGGGCGCTCCTCCTGGGCCCACGTACCAGGTTCTGAGCCGGCGGCCCCGGGGCGGCCCGGAGGCACCTGCAGGAGCTGCCCGCCGCTCCCTGTGCTGGAGACGGGCCTTGTCACAGCCCGCCTGAGGCCTGGAGTGGAACAATGGGGGTCTGGGGTGGAACAGTGGGGGGGTCTGGGTTGGGGTGGACAGTGGGGGGTCTGGGGTGAACAGTGGGGGGTCTGGGTTGGGGTGGACAGTGGGGGGTTGGGGTGGGTGGAACAGTAGGGGGTCTGGGTTGGGTTGAAAGTGGGGGATCTGGGTTGGGGTGGACAGTGGGGGGTCTGGGTTGGGGTGGACAGTGGGGGGCTGGGTTGGGGTGGACAGTGGGGGGTCTGGGTTGGGGTGGACAGTGGGGGGCTGGGTTGGGGTGGACAGTGGGGGGTCTGGGTTGGGGTGGACAGTGGGGGGTCTGGGGTGGAACTGTGGGGGTCCTGGGTGGTGGAACAGTGGGGGCCAGGTCACTAGGCCACATCTCTCCCCAGGTGTTCCGTTCCAAGATGGACGGGGAAGCCGCCAGCCCCCCGGCCCGCACCTGCGGCCCCCTGCCCTCGTCCTCCGGCTCCTCCTCCTCCTCCTCCCAGCTCAGCGTGGCTGCCTTGGGCCGCAGCCCTTCCCCAAAGGTCTGAGGCCAGTGTGCAGGCAGGATGGGGGGGGGGGGCTGGAGACCCTACGGGGAGCGGCCAAGGCCATCGTGGAAGCCTTGGGCTCCTGAGTGAGAACCCCGTCTCCCCCAGAGCGCGCCCCTCACCCAGAACGGCCCGGGCAGCCTGCCCCGCACGCTGGCGGCCACGCTGCAGGACATCGAGGCCAAGCGGCAGCTGGCCCTGCAGCAGAAGGGTGAGTGTCCCCCAGTGGCGCCCCCCGTACTTCCTACAGGACTGTTTTAATGGGGACCCGACAGCGGAAGGTATCGGACCCCACAGGGACCCTCGGGCGCGGTGCTGTGAGCTCGCCCAGAGGGCGTGGGTGTGACCGGACGGGAGCTGCACCGGGTGTGGAGAGGGGGTGGACTGACCCGGAAACGCTCCTGAGGACACTGCTCTGGGCCCGGAGGCTTGTTCTTAGGCACTTTGGTTGTTTAAAAGCCCACGTCCGCCCCCTCTCCTCTCACCCGTCTCCTCCCCCTGACCCGTCCCCCACAGTCCAGCAGCTTCCGCCAGCCCCTCCCAGCAGGTGGACGTGGTCACCGGGACAGGCTCTGGCTGGGCAGCACTCTGCCAGCCCCAGTGCCCACAGTGGGCTGGGTGCCCGCTGCCTGGCCCCTCAGGCTGAGCTGTGGCAGCCTCCGCGCTCCCTGTTCCTCCGCTCCTGCCGCTGTTGCTCCTTCGTCTGCGTTGTGACTGGTCCTGACTGACTCTGGTGCCCTCCCCTCCTCTCCCTCCCCAGCGGGCAGGGCGGGTATGTGTCCCCATCTGCAGGCCTCGCTGCCAGGGCACCACCAGGGCAGGCTCAGCGCCCTGTGGGCTCAGGATGCAGAAGCTGGCGCCAGGCGTGCAGCTGGGGCCAGATGGGCCCGAGCATGGGCAGCAGCCGCACCGGTGCCGGGGGCCTCGGGGCCGAAGTGGGCGCCCTGTGGCCCTCTCCTGCTCGCTCCTTCCCTCCGGCCGCGATGGCGCCAGCGTCCTCTCGGGCGGCCCCTGTGACCCCCCGTCCTCCTGCAGGGCAGCAGGTGATCGAGGAGCAGCGGCGGAGGCTGGCTGAGCTGAAGCAGAGAGCCGCGGCCGAGGCTCAGTGCCAGTGGGACGCCCTGCACGGGGCGCCCCCCTTCCCGGCCGGGCCCTCGGGCCTCCCCCCGCTCATGCACTCCATCCTGCACCACCTGCCTGGCCGGGAGCGCGGGGAGGAGGGCGAGCACGCCTACGACACGCTGAGCCTGGAGAGCTCCGACAGCATGGAGACCAGCGCCTCCGCGGGCCACTCCACCTGCTCCCCCGACAACGTGTCCAGGTACCCGCCCGCCCCGGCCGGCCAGCCGAGTGCCGGCCCGGCGCCCCACGGGACACGCCCCCCTGCCAGATGCCGCCTCAGCCCCCTCCCTCCTCAGTGTGAGCGGCCTGGACGCGGGGAAGCTGGAGGAGATGGAGCAGATGCTGAGAGAAGCTCACGCCGAGAAGAGCCGCCTCGTGGAGTCCAGGGTAGGCAGACCGGGCGCGCAGCCGAGGCGGGGCGGGGTCCCCAGCGTTGCCTCCCGCCTGACGGGGGCCTGCGCTCTGAGCCCTGTCCCCCACATGCTCCTTGCAAAACTCCCTTGAGGAGAAGAGCTGAGGGACAGGGAGCCGTGGTGAGATCACGTTCACAGCTCAGGAAGGGGGCAGCCGGCCCGCCCAGCTGTGACTTTCCTGTGGGGATTCCACTCTGTGTGGTGACATCTGTGGACGTTGTGGCCACCCTGGGGCTTAAAACACACACACACACACACTGATTTCAGAGACGGAGGAAAGGGGGAGAGAGAAACATCAGTGATGAGAGAATCATTGATCGGCTGCCTGAAACCTTGGGCATGTGGCCTGACCCTGACTGGGAACTGAACCCTGACCTCTGGTTCATAGCTCGACCGCTGAACCACACTGGCCGGGCAGGGACTTTGGTTCCTGTCTCCCGGAGCGGCTGTGCTTCCTCCTGGGATGCTGGGAAAGCAGCAGGTGGGGGTGCGGAGGCCGACAGAGGAGAAGCGATGTCCCAGGCAGAGCAGAGGTGGGGTGGGGGTGGGGACCTCGGGGCCAGTGGCGGCTGAGGGAGTCCGCCTCCTTCACGCTGGCCTGGAGCCAGGACACGGACAGGGCACCCCGCACAGCCAGGCCGAGGCGCCCAGGCCTGGAGGAGCGGTCCCAGGGGAGGAGCGGCCCCGGGGAGGAGCGGCCCCGGGGGAGGAGCGGTCCCGGGGGAGGAGCGGCCCCGGGGAGGAGCGGCCCCAATGGGAGGAGCGGCCCCGGGGGAGGAGCAGCCCCAATGGGAGGAGCGGCCCCGGGGAGGAGCGGCCCCGGGGGAGGAGCGGCCCCGGGGGAGGAGCGGCCCCGGGGGAGGAGCGGCCCCAGTGGGAGGAGCAGCCCCAATGGGAGGAGCGGCCCCGGGGAGGAGCGGCCCGGAGGGTGGGTCAGGGCCTGGGGAGGCGGAGGCGGATGGCGCTGAGCTGTAAGGGCCGAGGCTAATGTAAGGTCCCGGCCGTGGTGCCGACACAGAACACGGACACCCTGTGGCTCACTGTTGGTTTGGCGGCTTCAACACCTGCCCCTCCGGCTTCCTAAGTCCATTCCTCCTCGGGCCCGAGGTTGAGGGCAGCGTTCGCAGCTGGCGCTGCTGAGGAATCCGAGGGGACGAGCCGCGCTCTGTGAGCCAGCCTCCCGGAGGCAGCGGGCATTAGAACCACCGTGACCCCGGGCCAGGCAGGCGCCCGCCCCAGCCCGGCCCCTAGCGACCGGGCGGCGAGGCCGGGGGTGGCAGCCCGGGTCGGGCTGGTTTGGTGCCAGGCTTCCGAGCAGGGCCTCGGGCAGAGGTGACCCTCAGCGGCAGGGCCTTGGCCAGGCTGCCCTCGCGGTGGGTGCCCCGGCGGGTGCCCCGGCCGGCTGCTCCGAGGGGGCTGGGCGGAGGCAGAGGGCAGTGGGAGCAGAGGGGGCGGGGGCAGTGGGAGCAGAGGGGAGGCAGGGGCAGAGGGGGGGGGGCAGCGGGGGCAGCGGGGGCAGGGGCAGCGGGCGCTGACCGTCCTGCCGGTGCAGGAGCAGGAGCTGGGGCGGCGGCGGCAGGCGCTGGAGGAGGAGCGGCGGCGGCGGGAGCACGTGGAGCGCCGGCTGCAGAGCGAGAGCAGCCGGAGGCAGCAGCTGGTGGAGAAGGAGGTCAAGCTGCGCGAGAAGCAGTTTTCCCAGGTGGGGGCTGGGCCTGGGGGCTGGGCCGTGGGGGCTGGGCCGTGCGGGGCTGGGCCGTGGGGGGCTGGGCCGTGGGGTGATGGGATGAGCTGTGGGGGAACGGGCTGTGGGGGGATGGGCTGTGGGGGCTGGGCCCTGGGGGCTGGGCCGTAGGGGCTGGGCCATGAGGGGCTGGGCCGTGGGGGGCTGGGCCGTGGGGTAATGGGATGAGCTGTGGGGGGACGGGCTGTGGGGGGATGGACCGTGGGGGCTGGGCCGTGCGGGGCTGGGCCGTGGGGGATGGGCCATGGGGGGATGGGCTGTGGGGTGATGGGACGGGCTGTGGGGGGACGGGCTGGGTGGGCCATGGGGCAGGGACCTGCCAGCACCTGTGGCGGGAAGGTGCTCTGCTCGGAAGGAGCTGCTGTGGGCTCAGCGCAAGCCGGTCCCAGGTCACAGTCAGGCCCAGAGTAGAGCGCCAGGGCCTGTCCAGCCAGTGTGCATGTGCATGTTCGTGCATGTGCATGTGTGCGCGTGTGCACATGCATTTGTGTGCGCGCGTGTGTGCACGGTGTGTGTGTGCACGGTGTGCGTGTGTGCACGTGCACATGTGTTTGCGTGTGGGTGAGGGAGTGCGGAGTGGGGGCTGTGGGGATGTGGCAGCCCCCTCGCTGACATGGGTCAGAGAGGATGGTGAACAGGCCTTCAGGGAGGGAGGGAGGTGGAACCAGAGCGGCGCCTGGCCTCCGCTCCCCTGTCCTGCCGTTCCTCTCTCACTTCCCCGCCGCCTCCTGTCCCGGCTTCATGCTCCAGCCCACAGCCTGGCTGTGCTGATGGTTTCCGTCTCCAGGATCCTCGTCTCTCCCCAGGCCAGAGTCCATCCTCTTACAGACCCCAGGAGACAGCAGAACATTTAACTAACACGCTAGCTCGAAAGAAAAGTCCAAGTGCTTTTTAAAAACATGTATATATTTTTATTGGTTTCAGAGAGGAAGGGAGAGGGGGAGGAGAGAAACATCAGTGATGAGAGAGAACATGGATCCGCTGCCTCCTGCACGCCTCCTTCTGGGGATGGAGCCCACAACCCGGGCCTGTGCCCTGACCGGAATGGAATCCTGACCTGGTTCATAGGTTGATGGTGAGCAGACATTGGAGGCAGAGGAGGAATGAGGGGAGGGGAATGCCATGTCCCTGTCCCGGTCCTTGCCCTGCGGGGGCCGGGGCTCCGGCTGGACGTGCCTCCCGCTGGGGCCTGGGACCGGCCCGTGGTGACAGCAGCCACAGCTCCTGATCCCCTGAGTCCAGGGCAGGCTGCCCGGGTTGGGTCTGAGAAAGAAGAAAACATAATCAGGCCGTGGCCGGCCAGTGTGGCTCAATGGCTGAGTGGCGACCAATGGACCAGGAGTTCGATTCCCAGGCAGGACACATGCCCGGGTTGTGGGTTTGATCCCCGGTGGGGGGCGTGCAGGAGGCAGTGGATTCATGGTTCTCTCTCATCTCTCTCTCTCCCTTCTTCTCTGACATCAATAAAATACATTAAGGAAAGAAAAATAGAGCAGTGGGCTTTATCTGTGTTCGGAATCGTGGGCGAGGCCACTGTGGGACGCTCTGGCCCCTCCGTGGGCTGGCGCTGGGGCGGTGGGGCTAGGAGCCCACTTTGGGGTGCCTCCATTTGTTTTTCTTTAATCTGTGCCGTTCCTTTGGGCCTTCCCAGAAAGGAAGAGCGGAAAGGAAGCAGGGGACAGCGGAGCTAGTCTGAGAGTTCCCGAGGTGGAACATTCCACCTCAGGACACGGAGGCCCCGAGCGGGGGAGGCAGAGACCAGAGCCTGCCCACGGCGCCCGGAGGGAGAGGCGGGGACACAGTCTGCTGCCCACCTGCTGGGCCGTGGCCACGGCGAGGGAGGGAGGTGGCAGGCTATGGGTGCAGCACTGGAGCCGAGGGGCTCGGACGAGGAACACCAGGGCAGCGAGGAGACTGTGGACCCGCCCTCTGCTCCCAGGCGCGACCCCTGACCCGCTACCTGCCCGTCCGGAAGGAGGACTTTGACCTGAAGACCCACATCGAGTCCTCAGGCCACGGTGTGGACACCTGTCTGCACGTGGTGCTCAGCAGCAAGGTGGGCGTGGCCGGTGGGCGTGGCCGGTGGGCGGGGAGGGGACCCTCCTGGCCTTGTCCTGCCCTGACTGACATTGAGGTCTGGCCCAGGACAAGCGTTCTGGCTTAAAGAGATGTTGTGGACAGGGACACCCCCCACCCCCAATACAGGCACAGGAAGCTGCCACTTCTGTGAACGACAGGGTTGGAGGTTCAGGAAGGAAGGTTCAGGGCCGGCACTGGGTCCTTCCTCACTCCTGCCTCCTGCAGGTCTGTCGTGGCTACTTGGTCAAGATGGGCGGCAAGATTAAGTCATGGAAGAAGCGCTGGTTTGTCTTCGACCGGCTCAAGCGCACCCTCTCCTATTATGTGGGTGAGTTCCCGGGCCTCCCAGCGCGGCCCGGACACCCCGGGGCCACCGGCTCGCTGGGCCTGTCCTCTCTCCACCCCTGGCAGATGTGCAGAGTATCTGGTCACCTCCATGGATGGGTTCCCTCATTTGCTTACTTATTAAAAATATTTTTACTGATTTTAGAGAGAGAGGAACACCAATGATGAACATCATCGGTTGGCTGCCTCCTGCACACCCCCTACTGGGGATTGAGCCTGCAACCAGGGCATGTGCCCTGACCAGGAAACCAATCGGCCACCTCTTGGTTCCTGGGTCGATACTTAACCACTGAGCCACCCAGGCCAGGCTCATCCATTTATTCAGCAACTGCCAAGCATCTGGCAAGTCCCAGGCGCTGTCCTCGACTCTGGTGAGAAGCAAGGAGCCGCAGCCCCCCGTGGAGCTGGTTGTCAGGGAGGCAGCTGCTGAACCACGCGCTGGAGCCTGACGGCGAGGCACTGGCTCCTGGGGCCTGGGCCCCACTCATTCTACTCACTGAGTGCCTGCCGTGCTGGTGTGAGGAGGCGGAACCCGGATCTGAAGGAAGGTTCCGGTCCAGCCGTGTGGAGGGGCAGGCACCCAGTCGGGGCGCTGGCAGTGGGCTTCCCCTGGCCTAGGAGTTTGCCCAGGGATGGGCTGGAGGCCATCCCTCTGTGTAAGAGCGCACTTTAAGGCCAGGCAGAGCCTGGGGTTAGAGCAGGGGAGGGTGTGAGACCAGGCCAGAGGGACCGGTCCGCTCCAGCCTGTACGTGGCCCCTGAGGGGAGCCAAGGAGGCAGCGTGCCCGGCGTGCCAGCAGCGGCCTGTGGCACAGGCAGCGGGGTTGGCGCTGCCTCAGGAAGGTCACGCCTCGCTCGGCATCGGGGAAGATGAGTCAAAGGGGCAGAGGATGTGCGGGCCGGGACGGGCTGCAGCGGGGCCCAGGGCGATGACTCGGGAGAGGACACGGGAGGGGCGGGCCCACTGCCCCGCCGCACTGAGCAGTGAGTGCCCGGTGCCGCCAGGACGGTCTGTGATCCTCCCTTACGCCCGTCACTGTCCAGGGTGCATGGAGGGCCTGGCAGTGTGGGCTGCGACCGACGGCCGGGCCCTGTCCCCCCGCCCCCAACCCCCCTCCTGCCACCTCTCCCAGATGCTCGTACTTCCTTCCGCTTTGTAAAATTAGAGTCCAATAGGTGAATGCGTTCATATAGTTCAAAATCATAACCCAGAAAAAGGTTAAATTGGGAATTATGCCCCCACTCTCGAGAATTGATTTCTTCTGTATCCATGTAGTGTTTCTCTTGTTTTTTGTTAATCCTCATCCGAGGATATTTTCCATTGATTTTTAGAGAGAGTGGAAGGAGGGGGAGAGAGAGAGAGAAACATGGATGTGAGGGAGACATCGATTGGTTGCCTCCCGCACCCACCTGACCAGGCCGGGGATGGAGCCTGCAACTGAGGGACATGCCCAGGACCTTGGGTCCCCGGGCTGATGCTCTATCCACTGAGCCAAACAGGGTAGGGCTGTCGAGTGTTTAAGGGAATGGGAACCAGCAAGCGTGTTCTCACCTTTTGCACCCAGAAGGGAACGCACTCTTGTCTTTCTGAGGAAGCGCCTTAGGGGCGAGTCCCTGTCTCCGTGTTTACACCGGCACAGTGTGGGGCTGCTCTGGGTTCGCCTGCCGCTGGGGGCGCCCTCTGTGCGTGTGTGAGCGTGCGGTGAGTGTGTAAGCGTGCTACTTTGCACACGTGTGAGGTGCGTTGTCACTGGTCGATAGGGCAAACCACCACGGTCTCCCAGCTCAGACTCCCGCTGCCTTTCTCTCCACAGACCAAGGTCGGTGGGACTTTCTGCATTTCTGACTTCCGGGGGCGGGTGGTGGCGTCTCAGGGCGTTCTCACCCCGTCCTGCGGTGTGCGTGAGCCTGCGCCGCCCTGGGGGCTGGGCGCGCGCGCACGCACCCCCCCCCCCCCCCCCCCCGCCTCCTCAGCGGCCGTTTCCCTTGCAGACAAGCACGAGACGAAGCTGAAGGGGGTGATCTACTTCCAGGCCATTGAGGAGGTGTACTACGACCACCTGCGCAGCGCGGCCAAGGTGCAGTGCCAGGGCCCTGCTGAACGTTCCCTTCCTTCCTCTCCCCTCCCCAGAGCGGCGTTTCAGCTTCCCGCTGGTGCCCGAGGTGCCCCCCCTCCCCCAGACAGTAACCACAATGACCGCATCTTTAAATATGTTTTTATTGGCTTCAGAGAGGAAGGGATCGAGAGAGAAACGTCAGTGATGAGAGAGAATCATTGTTTGCCTCCTGCACGCCCCCTACTGGGAATCGAGCCCACAACCCAGACATGGGGGGTCGAACCATGACCTCCTGATTCATAGGTCGATGCTCAACCCCTGAGCCAGGCTTTTGCAGAGAGAACGCATGAGACGAAACAGCCCTTGGTGTCTGATTTGTGAGATTCTTTTGTGCCCGGGGTTGCTAAGGACCAGGGCCCCACCTGGCAGACTATGCCTGACAGGTCCGAGGCCTGCCCGGGCCCCACTTGGCTGGTGGGGTCTAGGTTTCCAGTCCAGGTCATCATGGGGACAGGGCGAGGTGGATGGGGGTGGGGCGGATGGGTGGGGGTGTGGCGGGGCGGGCAGGAGAAGGCTGGTGGCCCGGTCTTAGACGCCCCTTCCCGTCCGCAGAGCCCGAACCCGGCCCTCACCTTTTGCGTGAAGACGCATGACCGGCTGTACTACATGGTGGCCCCGTCCGCAGAGGCCATGCGCATCTGGATGGACGTCATCGTCACCGGGGCCGAGGGCTACACTCAGTTCATGAACTGACGGTGGCTCCCAGGCCCGACACCTGCTCCCCTGCCGGCCTGGAGACAGCCAGCCGGCGGCGGCCTCCGGAGCAGAGCCCGGTGCCGCCGGAGGAGCTGCTGGGAGGGCCGCCGGCCTCCGGCCTCCGCAGAACCAGCGGGCGGGCGGGCGGCTCCGCCGCTGCCAGGAGCCCAGGACTCGCAATAAGGCTGCAGGGCCCTGTCCCCCACACGTGCTCTCCGCGTCAGGGACAATTATGACGCCAGAATCTGCCAAAGATCGCCTCTTGCCTCCTGTGCGGGGCCGCGGGGCCCGCAGAGCCGCCTCCTGGGGGGTCACAGCTCAGGCAGAACGTCTCAAACCCTGCTCGCACCCACCGTCCCCCGCATTTGCATTTTTACTACTTTGTTCAAGGGCCAGAGACTCAAGTTTTATCTTCGAGGGTCAGCCTCATACCCTTTTAGCGGACCCATCACCATGGTCACCATAGTAACCTTTCGTTGCCATGGTTACATGCTATTGCTGTGGCTGTGGCTCTGCCCACTGCTTACGCTGTGGGCCCACCAGGGTACGAGCCATCATCTCTCCAGCCCAGGCCCTTGGGCATCTCATGTTGGGGAAATGGGACCTCACACCTCCCGCCCCAGCCGCCCAGGCCCTGGCCACAGCCGCTGGCCCCGGCCAGCCCCCGTCCACTGGTGCCTTGCTTCGAGCCAGAGGGGAAGAAGTCAGGGTATCTAGGTCCCGGGGAGGAGGGAGGAGGAGGGCCTTCCTCGGGGTCTGTGCGGGGCTCCCCTGACAGGACAGAGGGCTGCTCCCCGAGCCGGGAGGAGCTCCGCAGAGGGGGACCCTGAAGCCCCACCTCCGGAGGGGGTGCCGCGGAGCAGAGGACAGGGCCTCGGGGGCCTGGCTGCCGTCCTCCGCCTTAACTAGCCCGCCCCACTCCAGCGCCGGGCCTGGTGCAGGTCCAGGCCGGCGGTTCTCGGTATGTGTAAGCATCTCAGCAGAACAATAAAGCGTTTGGGGTGATTCGGGAGGCTGAGTTGTCTGGGGCCCTGGGCTGAGGTTCCCAGGGTGGGAGGGCTAGTCCTTCCCCACAAAGCAGGGTTTCCCGCTGGCGAAAAGCTCGGGACCCGCCCATGACCCCGCTGGCGAGGCTGGCCAGGAGGCGGGGCCCGGACGGAGCACGGCGCAGAGGCAGGCTGCCTGCACACGTTTAATGAGGCCGAGGAGGCAGCGGGAGGGCCGTCAGCGCAGCAGGAGGCTGAGCACGAGGGCAGCTGCAAGGCAGCGGGGCTGCAGGGGCGCCGGCGGGGCCGCAGAGCGCAGCCGGTCGCCATAGCGGTCCAGGAGCATCAGGGCCAGTCCGTTGGTCCAGCCGAAGCCCTCCTGGGGAGAGGATGGCCAGTGGGTGAGGCCTCGGGGAAAGGACCCCTGACCCAAACCCAGAAGGTCTAACCCAGGGTGCCAGGCTCCTCCCTGGGGACCCACCCGCATGGAGAACAGGCCTAGAAAGGAAGGTCAAGGTTAGCTGTGGGGAGAGCAGAGCCCATCACTCCCTGTGGGGTGTGCCCACTCACCTGGACTTCATACTCCCCTCCGCCACCCGGCTGTCCACCACTGCTGATGTCGTACTGGGGGCGAGAAGACAAGCTGTCTCACCCCTGCGGTGCCCAGGAGTGGCCACTGGGGGCCGCCACGGGGCTTTGCAGTTTGCAGAGCCTGACAATTCCCCCTCTCACCACGGGGAGGCGCACTGGCTCGGAGCCTGCGCACCTTCTGAGTCTCCCACCCCTGCAGTGCCCTGGGATGGCCACTGGGGGCCTCCAAGGGGCTTGGGCCTGGGCTTTGCAGAGCCTGACATTTGGCGGCTCAGGGCCAGCTCACCTTCTCGAACATGGCTGACTTCTGGGAGTAGACACGGAAGTTGGTTTGGATCCAATTCTGCGCCAGCTGGAAAGCCACCTCCTGGGTCTTGGGTGAAGGAGACCTGGCCAGACCTAGGACACCCCGTGGCAGGGCCTGAGTATCCAGATCCCCATCCCAGGGGCGCAGAAGGGACAGGGCCGGCCCTGGGCCCTCTGTCCTGGAACCACGGGCAGCCCACCCCGGGGCGGGCCCTGGGATCCGCCCCCCTGCCTCTACCTCTGATGACCAGGTCCTGCAGGGGCGCCCAGGCGTTGGGGAAGTCCCACTGCTGGCCCGTCTTCCGGAGCGAGGTCGGGATCCCGTGCTGGAAGGTGAGGATCTGGCTGTCCTGGAAGGTTCCAGAAGGCAGCGTGACTGCAGGTATGGGCTGGCGAGGAGCCAGGAGGCAGGGACCCCCCTAAAGCAGAGGTCCCTCTCCTGGGCCCTCCCCTCTGGCTCACAGCTGCCCCTGGTGGCCGCAGCAGGACCCGCAGCTGAGACCCAGGAGGGCGAGGTGGCCACTGGCTAGAGCTCCTGCTGAGTCCTGAGCCAGCGCTGCCTCCAGGACCAGCATCCCCTCCCCTCCAGGTGCTTCAGGGCCCGGTCCACCCCAGGGACCCCCCCCCCCACCTCCCCTTCAGGGCCTGGTCTGCCCCAGGACCCCCCCACCTCCCCTCCAGGTGCTTCAGGGCCCGGTCCGCCCCAGGGACCCCCCCACCTCCCCTCCAGGTATATCAGGGCCCAGTCCACCCCAGGGACCACCCCCACCACCTCACCTCCAGGTACTTCAGGGCCCGGTCCGCCCCAGGGACCCCCCCACCTCCCCTTCAGGGCCCGGTCCACCCCAGGGACCCCCCTACCTCCCCTCCAGGTATATCAGGGCCCAGTCCGCCCCAGGGACCACCCCCACCACCTCCCCTCCAGGTGCTTCAGGGCCCGGTCCGCCCCAGGGACCCCCCCACCTCCCCTTCAGGGCCCGGTCCGCCCCAGGGACCCCCCCACCTCCCCCCCCACCTCACCTCCAGGTACTTCAGGGCCCGGTCTGCCAGGGCGGGGTCAGAGACGCAGCCAGCCCAGAGAGGAGCCAGGTTGGTCGGGTAAAACTCGTGGTTCTTCTTTTCATGTTCAAGGTCATAGTCAAACCAGGCGCCTTTCTCCGCGTCCCACAGGACGGCCTCCAGGGCGGCCAGGCGCCGGGCCCGCAGATTTCTGTACCTTGTGGCTTCAGACTCATTCCCTGGGGGCACGTGATTCAGAGGGTGCGACCGGGCCTGCCCTTGGCCTCCTCCTGTTGTGACCCCCAAGCGCCAGAGGCCATGGCCCCCTGAGCCCACCCCACCTCAGGTCCAGGACCTAGAATTCCCTGGGCAAAGGGGCTTAGGGCTCCGGCCTCTGCGGCCCTGTCCCAGGCTCATCCTCCAAAGGCACTGGCTCGGGCCTGGACGGGCAGCAGCGGGGCGCGGGAGGGGATGCAGGCGAGGACTGGGCACACGTGCCGGGTGAGAAAAGCGGGGGAGTGACATGCGGAAGGCCCCGTGTGCACCCCCAGGGCTGCATGAGGGGGCAGGTCCCATCGGGCTGCAAAGCGGGTGGCCCCTCACCCAGGTCCTCCTTCCAGCTCCATTGCCAAGGACGAGGCGAGGCAGGGCCCGAGCCGGCGAGCCCACCTCCTCCCGCCCGGCCGCTCACCCAGGAGGGCGTAGAAGCTGCTCATCAGCCCCTCAGCCTGGCACAGGAACGCGTTGAGGTCCACAGGCACCAGCTTGCTGGTCCGGATGCTGCTGAGCGAGCTGGGGTCCGGGCCTCCAACGAGCCAGCGGGAAGAGAAGTCCCAGCCCGACTCGGCCCCCGCCTTGAGCTCAGCCCACAGAGCCTCCCGGGCGCCTGTGGGGGACAGAGGACAGAGGACCGGCCGCCCCGCTGCAGGCCTGCCCCCCCCCCCCGCCCCGTCGGCCGCCACTCACCTTCGGGCACCGTGGCCGCCAGCTCTGCGTCCTTGCTGTAGGACTCTGGTCTGCAGGAGGAGAGTGGGCAGCCTGGCACGGGGGCTCTGAGCCTCGTACCCAAGCTGGGGCTGAGCCTGGTGACTCAGCAGACCTGGGCCCACCGCCCTGATGGCCCACGCGACCGTCTCGCCCCCTGAGAGGGGCCTGAGCACGGCCCTTCTGCCAGGGCTGATGACACCCGCTCCCTCGGGAGTGAAGACAGGCCACACCTGGGCCCCCCGTAAGGGACGTGGTAGCGATTCAGGACGTGGCTCCTCCCCGCCACGCTCACAGAGACGTTCCTCTTCTCCGCCCAGAAGTCCAGCTCCATGGCCAGGGCCCTGATGTTGGTCCTGGGCAGAGCCAGCATCTCAGCCTGGGCGCCCCTCCCTCCTGCCCCGGAGGCCTGGGGACGGGGCCTCAGCCTGGGCGCCCCCGACCCGGAGGCCTGGGGACGGGGCCTCAGCCTGGGCGCCCCCCACCCGGAAGCCTGGGGGACGGGCCTCAGCCTGGGCGCCCCCCACCCGGAGGCCTGGGGGACGGGCCTCAGCCTGGGCGCCCCCCACCCGGAGGCCTGGGGGACGGGAGCCCGCGGTGCCCACCGGAGGAAGGCAGTGTCGTTGGTGTGAGCCACGTAGCGGGCCATCATGAGCGCCAGGAGCGGCGGCTGGCTGCGCTGCAGGTAGTACACGCGGGGCCCGTTGGGAACGTGCCCGTAGCTGCCGGGGAGGAGGCTGCTGAGGCTCCTGCCAGAGGGAGCCCGGAGCCAGGGCCCGCCGCTCCGAGCGCCCGTCCTCCGCTCCCGCCTGCGGCAGCGCTTACGTCCACACCAGGTCCAGGAAGTTCTGCAGCATGCCCTTGGCCGTGCCCGCCATCTCCGACACCAGCAGCCCCTCCAGCACCCAGTAGGAGTCCCTGGAGGGAGGCTCCGTCAGGGCCAGAGCCCGCCGCCCGGCCCGCAGGCAGCGGCTCGGACCCGGCTCACCAGTAGTAGAACTCGCGGAAGCGCCCGCCGGGCACCACGAAGGGGCGCCGCTGGTAGATGAGAGAGAAGCGCTCGGGCTCCCGGAGGACGTCCAGCTTCATCTGGAGCCGGAGAGAGGTCGCAGCCTGGACCCTCCCGCGGGC